ACTCACGAATGCTTTCATCACAACTAACAGTATAAACATTATGTAAATAAGAGATTCATTGTGCAGTGTAGACTGCGTAATTGATAATAAACTCGCGCTGTGTGATTGAAAGCTCCAGCAATTATAAAGGGAGTGTTTTTTGATCGCTTTCTGTATATAATTTAATCACAATTTAAATAACAGATTATTTTCACGCTACTCAGAGAAACAATGTGTAGTTGACTGTTTAGTCACTGGCTTGATTTACCGACGCTTAAACATTAGAAGGAACACTTACATGTTGCGGTATTACTGTCGGATCTTTTTGTACAGTCTATGGTCGGATCCGTACCTTACAGAAAAAGTCTATTTGCAAAGTCTGCACCGAAAATGCGACTGATTTACCAAAAAATTCACAGTGAAATGTACTGAACAAACAAATAATGCTCTACTTAGACATCCTCATAGCTGAAAATAAATAAGCACTTTCCAAGCATTAGGATCCACTGTGGAAGGTGATGATATTTTTTAGTCCAGTGCTCCTGTATTGCTTTTCTCTCCTTCTCATCTCACTAATGCTCCAGTGGGCAGGGCCAAAGACACGATGATGTAGAAGTAGGCACTGATCTGATTTTGCAGAGGTGGGCTTTCGTTGCACTTTTACGTCATAATGTGACATAATGAGAGTCGTTTTCTGATCTTGGCCGCAATAAAAGGAAGTTTTGAGCTCTGAAAATTACAGGATAATTTTATAGTACAATGACCTCTTACATGTCACAAAAGATCAAGGGAAATTTGATTTCACAATTCATGACCCATTTAATGTAAATTATTACTTTTTATGCTTTTCATTTTTATTTGGGAGTTTTTTTTCATGAGATTAACCATGTTAATATTCAGTACATGTTAATATTGCATTACCTTACTGCAATGGTGGTAAATGAATACTTCCAGAAAAATAATCAGTGCTAATCTGTTTCATGTGACTGTGAGGCCACAAGATTGATGATGTTAGAGGGAAACCCCTAAGGTTTGGGTGGGGGTAGGGCAGGTCATGACATGACATAGTCTCTGCAGATGTTATTGTGGAGGAAAAGATATGTGATCACAAACTACGTAAAAAGGGGTCAATAAAAATGGAAAGAGTAAAGGGAGTGAAGATATAAGCGAGGGTGACATGATATAAGTCATGATATAAGTGAGGGTGAGGACAGCATGGACAACCTGATGTGATTTAGAAGCCATTCCCTCATCCCAACAGCCCTGCAAAGGAATTCCCAGTTGGACAGGGGGTCCTCGTTTTACTCCAGTCTAGCACTTTATCCCGCACCGCCGGCTCAAGCCTCAGCTGCTCTGGGACCGGGCGACATGGGAGCGCACAAGGGTACATAAGGGACAGGAATTTTAGGGAGAGGGGGCAATCACACCCTGCTTATGAGAATGTGTGTGTGAGTGAGTGGAGGGGAGACAGCTGGGATGCCGGGCGCTCCACACGGACTGGAATTAGAAACATTCTCACACATGGACCTGCGGGCACACTCCCACAACATACAAACACACCTTCTGTGTCTACATCTCATCCTACAGCAAACGTCAACCTGCTGCTAAATATGAGAACATATCCAGACAGGAAGCACCAGACGACACCGGCAAGACATTTCACATTCAAGTCACAAGTGTGACAAGTTTCCCTGTTTCTCTCCAGCCGATTTCCACGACATCTCAATACGCTCATTGTTGAAAAGCTAAACAATGATACTGACTAATCTGACACCTTCTCTTAATACCCCATGCCACCCGCAGCTGCCCCGACGGAGCTTACACAACAAAAAAACCTCTCAGACACACACACGGGATCACCCTCCCCTCTCCGCCCCTTTGAGCAATGACATCATTTGGATTTGGTGTCTTTGAAATGGAGTCTGGCTTGCGTGGGGCGAGGCGAAAATGAGAGCAGACTATTTTGTGGCAGACAAACGGGCTGCACTAAAATTTATCCTACAATGTTTCATTACAAAGTGGTAGATGAAAGGATAGAAATGGGGCAGAGAGGATGGAAAAACGACAAATGCTGGCAGCCAGCTTGGATGAATACCAAAGATGTCTTTCTGAACACATTTTATTCGTTTTTCTCTCTTCTTCCCCTTTGTAATAAATGAGATCCCATTCCACAGCTTCCTAAAAATAACCTATAGAATGCAAATACATACAGTGGGGTTCAAAAGTCCACTTGTGAAAATGTATTTTTCAAATGTAATAATTTTTTTCCTGTTACAAATGATATTCATGCAGCTTAACTTTAATATAAGCATAAGCATTTAAGTGAAACATTTACATTTTATGAATGTCTCAGAATTTCTTTAATGAAACTATATAAAATTAATATTTATATATTTTTAAATATTTTAAATAATGTTTTAAAACATTTAAGACATTTATATTTATTTGTATAAAAAAATAATACAAGTTATAAAAAATATTTGACATTGTTTTGCTTTTAGTGTTATAGCTCACACTGCATCTTGTGTATTGTCTTCATGAGTTAGAGATATGTGGTTGTCTTTATTTCAAGGCCTTCAAAGTCACAAGAACAATGTTAAGAAGAAGTAATTTTCCATTGCCTTTGTTTGCAATACCAATTGCTGTGCATGTCACACAAAGTCAGAATGAGCATTTATAAAGACACAACCAAGCATCTGCTCATCATTATTTTTAAAGCGATATTTCCCAATGGAAATAGAAATCTACTATACTAAGAAATAGACTGGGAAAGTTTATCCTATCCCATCTTTTAAAGCCTATTGTACTATATATGCTTATATTTTTGTCCTGGTTTGACTTAATACTTAAACCCTACTTAACCCCTGTATTGATTAGACATCCACATGAGCTGAGTGAAGGTATGAGACAAGCAAGTGGGTAGACAGGGAGTAGAACAGCAGAAATACTCAAAAATGGAAAAAAGCATGATGAAGAGACAAAATAATTTCTCAAGACTTCCTCAGTCATCCAAGTTTCTACAAAGTAATACATGAAGACAAATCAAGGACACTTCATTAAAAATAAAATATTTAACTAATGACAGACCAATATACACCGCCCACAATCCATAATAATTCAGGTATGCATAATTCATATCTGAGCACTGATCAATAACTCTGCCTGCTTGGCTGATTAAAACTGATGCCTTACCAATCACTACAATACAATTCAAAAGTTTGGGGTCAGAAAGATTTTTTTTATGTTCAAAAATGCTGAATTTATTAGATCAATATAACGTAAAAGCATTAATATTGTGAAATATATTTAAAAAATGTCAGGTATGTGTCATGTATATCCTGTATTTTCAGCATCTTATGCTCCCATATTGACGCTATGGACTGACACAGATTAGTTGTGCGGTCAGATTTAGCTCAGTGTCCATCACACTGCTGACATCTTTAATAAGCTTTCTGTGTTGGCACTCAGTGGGATGCAGTACTATTAAAAAAAACCTGCAATTGAAGATTTTCCTCGCAGGAAATTACAACATCTCTAAAGAACGCAAATCACAGTGTCAAATTTCACCCTTCCAAATTCCAAGAACTTTGAAAGTACTAAATGTTTATTGCTATTTAAAATCTTGAAATGTTACTAAAAGTTCACTGGACTACCTCAATACCACTCAAAGTCTTTTAAACTAGTCATACTGTTGTTGCTGAGCAATCAAACATGGCGGAGGAAGGAATGATTCAGTCTCAGCAAGGCATATTTTGTACAGCACTGATTCATTCTCCTGCTCCTGGAGGTCTCGGACGCCCCCAACATCTGTAATTTCCTTAGTTCTACTCCTTCCCACTTCCACCTACACCTCTTCACTCTCACACTCTCCTTTCTTTCGCCACCCTCAAGAGGCATGAGTAAGTGAGATACAGACATTTCATCAGACGGTCAGGGGAGGAAAGGTGAACTCAAGCTGCCCACTCTGAGGATTTAAGAGCTCACATGTCTCTCCTTATTCTCTTGCCACCATCACAGAGAACATGATGAGAAGAAAACAGCAAGAACATGTTGGTAAAGAAGGATTTATTAAGGGCGAGAGCCTTCATCCTGCAGTAATACAAAAATGTATATAATATATTTTAAACATGCATACTCTAGAGGGCTTTACAACTGACCAAAATGAAACTAAAACCACGCTACGGCTTATTGTGATTTAATTATATAAACATGCAGAATGCGTTTCAGAAGTGAAATCATTTGCTCAAGCAGCTCGTGATCTGGTGTTTTCAGTGTCTCAGAGCTGTTGGGTTTGCAGCCAACCATGCTCCACATAAATTCCATCTCTGCAATGTGATGCGAGTTTGGGTTGCTTATGGTTTAATATTTGAAAATGTAGAAATTAAGACCATAAATATTAGCATTGTAATTTTATAGTTGTACTATAAAATAAACTATTATTATTATTTTTAAAATATGTATTATTTATTTTATATTGAAATATTACAATAGTAATATATCTTTTGTTTGATACTTTTATTTAGTATTATTATTATTATTTTATAGTAAAAAAAAAAAAAACATTTAATCACTAAACATTTTTTTTTTAATCAGAAAAATTGCAATTAGATTTTTTCCCCCCCACGTCCCACAGCCCTGGCTTGATGTGATTTACAAAATTAGAACATGTTTCTGGATCAACATCCTTTGCTGGTTCTGGAACATCATCCTGCATCATCTGCAAATCATTGTCCACTGAATTCAGGGGAAGGCTGGTTCACTCAGGAACACGTCATACTTGGGTAAACCACATGGTGCACAACATAAGTTTAGATATGGAAAAAAACTAGAAATAATCATCCGTGTCACATGAGATCATGTTTAGGTAGGAGGGCTGAGCCCCTCTAAAACTGAAACTTTAGAACCGCCTGTGCCACACGAACATTGTTAGCATACAGTGGTTAGCACAGAAAGCAATCTGATACTGCAAATGATGGATACAGTACAGACAAAAATATACAGTTTGCTAAATCTTTTCCTACCTTGAATTCCTGAAGCTGCTGTTTGATGACCTCCACTTCTGTCCCCACGACGGCCTGTGTGTCCAGCACCTCCTCTGCCCGTCCCAGCAACCCTTGTAGGTCAGCTAGACGGGCGTAGAACTCCTTCATTCGCTCTTCTGCGGCTTCTATGAGTGCCAGACGGTTCTGGCCCCGCTCTGCCAGCTTGCCTGCCTGTCTGCTTAGTGCTTCAGTCTCTCGCCTGAGGGCCAGAAGATCAGGAGAGCTTCCCTCTCTACGCAGCATAGTCGTGCATTCTCCACCATGACTCTCTAGCTCGGCACGGAGGGCACTGAGTTGACTCAGGAAGCCCCTGACAGCATCAGCCTGTGAGGCCAAGGAGTCAGTATCCCGTCCCACAGGGCTAAGGCTATCCAACTCATCGTCCAAATCAGCCAGGCGGGAGAAAACATCTCGAACATGTGACTGGACTTCTCCCACACCTTGCAACCGGGACTCCAAGGATAAGCAGCATTGCTCTGTCTGTGGGGGAAAGAGAAGGGACAATTGCAGGCAAATAGAGATGAATTTGTGGGTCATTCCTACTATGCAGTAGACCAATCATATGTTTCTAAATATACTGGATAAGCATATTAATATACGCAGTAATAATATTACATAATATGCCTGAATTTTTCATTCGCAAAAAAATATTTTTTTGGTTAAAAAAAAAATAGTCATTTTTGCCACATCCCTGAGTGCTTTTAACATAAAGCACTGCCAAATTTACTAAGAAATACTCAATCATTCCTGAGATGTTTTAAACATACATTCTTGGGAAGACAGTTTAAAATTAAAATATAGGGCTTTCCTGTTTCTCAAATTTAATTTTCCATCCTATCAGTATGTAATGTCCCCTTAACTAACAAAACACAGTTCCTCAATTACAACATTCTCCAGGAAGTGACATAGTTTTTGTGAAAAAAAACAGCAGAAAGTTTTAGTAATGGATTTGATCAATTCTGTGTTTTTTTTGTGTTATTTGGTTTCTCAATCTAAAAAATACTAATCCTGTTTTATAAAATTGCAGAAATCGATATGAAAACAAGTTTCAAAAGATGAATAAATAAGTGATATTAAAATTAACTTCCAGTTGGTGTGGCTAACTTGCAATCCCTCACTAAGCAATAGCTAACTTTAGCTCTTTATTTTTATCCTTAGAGGCTTATTCTAATAATTTCTTGCTGTTATGTAAATACTTTTAAATAACATTACAATAAAAATGTGCTACACTTACAACATAAGTATATTTATTTTTTAAAAATGAAATGTTCAAAATGTACTGCACAGACATGCAGTATTGCACAATTGTATTTGTATTGTATTTTAATCTTAAATACTTAAACTTTTGGCGGCAAATCTTGAATACAAGCTATTATGAAAATAAACAAGACCAATTTAGATCAACAGCCAGAAAAAGACGGCATCTTATTTTCAGCAAACATGACATGAGCGCAGACTTAAACTACAGATCAGGTTATATATAACATCCCAACTACCGCTTCAGTCCTGGCACATTCCAGAGGCTCCTGATCATGTGAAGATTTCTCTCACCTTCTCAGTAACTTCTTCAAACTCTTTTTCCGCATCACGAGCTTGCTGCAACAGCCTCTGGCCACCATCTTCGCCGGCCCTGGAGATCTCGGGCGCATCCTGGAGTAGCCCCAGAGCCAGATTTTGCAGGTATATTACCTGTGGCTGTATAGAGTTTAACAGTTCTTGTTGGTTACGAAGACGCTCCAGGCTTTTGTTGCTACAAGCTTGTGGCCCAAGCGCCTCCTGAACCTCGATCTGATGTCTGGCTGCCTCGAGTCTTCTCTCCACAGCCAGTCTCCCATCTTCAAACTCCTTCAGTCTGCTTCCCAACTCTTCTATCTGAGCCGTGCGTCCCTGTAGTCGCTCAGAGAGACCATCTATCCTGCGATTAAGCTGGGCTTTTTCATCCATCACTTCCTCTTCACCAGTACAGCTCTGCTCCAGCAGTTGATCTGCTGCCGTGTTCAGAGAATCTAAGAGGCGGCGACGACGATCCAAGTCTAGGCTCAACTGTCTAGCCTTTTGCAAAGCCTCGTCTAAGGTGGAGGGGTCCAATGATGGGTGGATCTCTGCCTCCCTTTCCTCACATTCTGCAACCCAAGGTACAAGCTCATTGCGATGTTGTTGGTACAGCTCAGCACGGGACAGTTTCTCTTTTATTCGACTATGTTTATTAGAGGTTTGTTGGTTCATGCCCTCCCAGTCTTGCCTTAAGGTGTTTAGTCGAGTCTGTAGGGCTAATCGCTCATCTCCAGCAGGGAGAGATGCTAGCAAAGACGTCCCCTCGGCCTGGATGAGCTCATAGGATCCACGTTGTTGTGCTATGGCTCGCTGGAGATCCTCTTGTTGGGCCAAAAGTGTCTTTAGAGCATGAGGTTGGCAAGGAAGGCCTTTAGAAACCCCAGCGGTGTGATTCCCAGCCTGCCCACCCAACCAGCCACGAAGCTCGTCAAACATCTGCTGGAACTGCTGAGTGCTGGACAGGGCAGCCTGCAGCTGGGACAAGCCATCAGCTGAAAGACAGCAGTGAGGGGGACTGTTAATATTATGCACATGCTGCACGATACTGGAAAAAAACTGACATTGCGACAATTTGCTTTTCTGTGAAATACATTGTGAAATAAAAAGACACAGGAATTTTTTTTACAATTACAATACTAACATTTATGTCTTAATTTCTTAATTTTCAAACTGTTACTCACCAGCCCGTTCTTCTAGGTTTTTGAGGGGCCCGCTCACACTCTCCAATCGCTTGTGTAACTCATCTCTGAGATATGGTTCGGCCACAATTGTGCTGAGCTCCAAACACAGCTGCTCAGCCTGGGCAAGTTGACCTCGTCTCTGTTCCAGCACAGCACGGATCTCCCCAGTTTCCTGAAGCCTACGGCGCAGGGCTTCAGGCTGAGCGCTTAGAGAGGCCTGCGCATCCAGCCTCTCACCTAGATCGGCCATGCTCTGAGACAGCTCCCTGAGCAGGGCCAGGTAGCACTCGCTGGTTCCCTGTGCCTGGTCGATCTGCTGTGAGCGGCCGGTGAGACGAGCGGTGAGGTCTTCCCACTGCTGTGAAACGTCTGCCAGCTCCTGCCTCACCTCCTCTAGATCCTGTCCATCTCTAGAACCCTCGTCTCCAGATGGGGAGAGGATTCCCTCTGCCGCCCGAGTCAGCTGGTCAAACTGGGGTTGCCGTGTCTCAAACTCACGTAGCATGAACTGACAGGATAAAGAAAGAAATTTAAAGTGATTCTTATTGAAGCGGATACGTTTTGAGAACAAAACGTTTCATTTGATTTTTTTAATGAAAATCTGAGGCATGATATTAAATACCAATTATTTTATTCTGTTCATAAAAACAAACAAACAAACAAACAAAAAACAAAAATAATTTACAGTAATACACTTAATAGAGAAGAATATAAGCAACCATAGTTTTTAAAAACTAATTTTTTTATTGTAAAAGTTTCTTTTTTGATAAAACATTTGCAAGAACTATTTTATGAAATAACGTCACTGATCAATAATTTATTTGCCTTTTGAAGTAGGACTACTTTTATTGGTGGAAATTATTTTTTGACAATGTAACAGACACTGTCAGTGTGTTTAAACTGTATTTAATAATTTGTATTTAATGAACATTATGAATAGACCACTATAATGTGATATTTATAGATTTCATGTCCGATCTGTAATTTGGTAGACAAAAGAAGATTAGTTTACCTGCACTTGCTGTTTCTGTGTGTTGAGCATGTTGGGGTCGATACTCAGTGGGCCTAATACACTCATCATCAGCTCTTTCTCTCGTAGCCATGGTCCTAGCTGACTGGCTGCTGCAGCAAAACTACCAAGCCTATCAGCACACACCTCCAATTCAGTCTGCTTCTGTGCTGCAGTCTGATTGGCCTTCGTCCACCGTGAGTCTAGGAGAAAGAGCAATATTTAGAACAAATATCACAAGGACCAATCCTGATGCTTCAGAAACGATGACACTAAAATATTTAATGTACTAATAAATATACTGAAATACAATAGATAAAGAAAATCCCTGCACAGGCTGCACTTTGACAACAAATGGAACACCAGAATAAAAGTTCAGGATATTTGATTTGAAAAAGACAAGGTCAGAGCTCTTCTTGGAACTTACAGTACATTATTTTCAGCCTTCCATTTCCTGCACCCAACTCTCACCTTGTGACCAGCAAATGAATATTAATGTACTATTCTGTCGTTATAGTTAATTATTGCTATAGGTACAAAGTCCATTCAATGGAAATGCATTTAAAACACTTCACTGACCTATGTCTTCAAGCTGACGTTTCCATGTCTCAGCTTCAGGAGAGTCTGGATTATCTGTTATTAGCTGCTTGAGAGTGTTCTTCAGATCCTCCACGTTCCCAGAATGCTCGGCAAGTTCAGAAAGCAAAACCTGGAAACATATACCTGACTGTCAGCTGTCTGTCACAATGTAATAAATGATTGCTAGCCTACTGATTAACAATCCTTTAGAGAACTATGGTATAACACTGCAGAAAAATGACAGAAAATGAAAACAGATTTGCCGGATTACTGTGGGGGCCTGTAGTTTTTATACCACTGTTAAGAAAGTATTAAATTCTCTCAAAATGATACCTTAGTCTCTTGGGCTTGAGCACGCACCACCTCTGGCCGAGAAGGTGAGGCGGTCTGCCCTTGTGCCAGGCTCTGTTCACGGGGGCTCAGCCACTGGATGAGTGCCTCAGTGCCCTGCCTGGCCTTCTGCCGCAGGTCAAGAGAGGCCTCTTGCCTACCCTTCCTTTCCCTCATGTCACTGCCCAGCTGCTCATACTTGCAGTTCACATCTGCCACTGCCACCTGGATCTCAGTCAAGTCTGAGGGTAAGAGCGAAGGAATGTTGACGTAAGTACAATCAGAGCAGGCCAATGACAAGGCCAAATAGTTATAAAACTGCATCATGTTTGTGCTATTCTTCATGCAATGATATATAAGCTGAGGGTTAAGCATTTCAATTAATCTTTTATTTTTTAACTAACTGGACTAAAATCCATTCAGTTGTGAAGAACAACATATGGAGTTCTGCACATGATATGTGGAACATAACATTTATTGCGGTCACAAATTAAGAATTTGCTCCATTATTTATTAATTTGTGGATGTTTTAGTAACACTCACCCTCGTTTTAGCAAAATCAAGGACATGTTTCATTAATTAATTGCCTTGTTTTAGGTAAATCATGGCCACATTGTAGTAATTTGTTTCCTTGTTTTCAATTATTTTTTACCTGAAACGAGGGAACAAATTAGCAAGCTGCAAGAACAAATTCTTAAATCCGTGGTCACAATATATATGCCATGTGTGAGGCTCCATAGAAACCCCCCCCCCCCTCCAAACCACAAAAATATTCATTATTTTTGACATTACATTACTCTTGCAGTTTTGTCGATGCACTACAATGGGAACCAATATATTGGATATTGACTACAATGACTAGACAAACTGATTACTTGCAAAATGTGAACAGAGTTAACAGTCCTTTGCACCAGATTTATGTGCACCATCAGCATGAAAGAAAGCCTAAATGATTGGACAAATTGGTCATATGCAAAAAAACACATGACACAAATCTGCACATACTCTTAAAGCAAACTAACAGAACAGGACAAGAAGCAATGTAAATAAAAATAGGGAGAGTGAGTGAAAGGGTAAAGAAGAAGAGAGATGTGGAGTTATCCATGAGAGGGGAAGAACAAATGGAAATGACTAATAGAGGAAAGCCTCCAGTGAAGTGGATGCTGCACAGCTCACTGGCTAAAGGTGTGGAGGAAGCTCACCTTTACAGGTGTGAATGCCATTAACACTGTTGGGGCTGGTAGCACCATTGAGCTGGGAAACACCTGGGAGAAAGACACACAGACACACGCTCAGACAATGCCACAATAATTCACAGGCATGCTGGAGCAGCACACACACACAAGCAGCTAGACATACACAGAAGATTTAGACACAGAGACACATATACAAACATAGTGTGCTCACAATTAGTAGTTTTGAAGGTGCTAGATGCTTAAAGGGATAGTTCACTCAAAAACTCACCCTCATGTCATTCCAAACTGGTATGACTTTTTTTTGTTTCCATGGAGCACAAAAGGAGAACATTGAGCAACGTACGGATTGCTTTTTTCCATGCAGTAATAAATTAATTGGGAAAGGATGAAAAAGCACCATAAAAACTACAATTAAGAACATAAATCAAGCTTTTGCTCATACTTCTAGCCAGTTTTATTTTTATTTTTTTTATAAATTAGAATTTTGTTTCCCATGAAAGAAAGAAAGGCTAACTAGTTTTGAACATGAAGGTGAGTAAATTATGACAGTGTTAATTTTTGAGTGAACTATCCTCTATAAGTGGTGATTTGGGGACCAAATATTTACTTGTGTCACAGTGGAAACACAAAATACTAGCTACAGACAAAAAGGAGCATTGGCCCTGAACTTCCATAATGTTGTTTTGCCTACCAGCCTTGTTCTTGGGGGATGTGATGTTAATAATCAAGTTCTCCAGTTGTGAACTGGTCTTGTTCAACTCCTGAACTTGGCTTCCTTGGGTCTCCCATTCTGTGAGTAGATCCTACAAGTAAATTCATAAGACATATTAATTACAGCTCATCTCGCTAAAAACAGAAACTGATGTCAGAACACCGTAAATAGAGAGAACTACAGTCCTACTTTAAGCTGCTGTGCTCTTCTCTGCAGGCTTTCTGTGCTTAGATTGGGCTCTTTGGCAGGAAGTTGTTCTTGTACTGTCTGCAGCCACCTGAGGAGCGAGCCAGAGTGAGAGCGGAACTCTGCCAGTTGCTGGACGCAGCTCTGGATGGAATCAAATCTGTGAAGGACACAGGAAAAAAGTTATATGAATATCAACAAACCATTAAAATAAGATTCCATTTTGTTAATGGTAACACAATGCTGGGTCCAATGAGGCAACTTGCTCCATGTAAAATAAAACCGCTTTTGTGAATGGACTTCATCTTCTTTTTCAAACGCATTATTCCTTTCTTAATTTTAAATATCTTAATGAGGAAAAAATTCAGAGCACACCTTAAAAAGCAGAAATTCTACATGAAAAAAATATCTTGTAAAAGGACACAACCAGACATCTTTGACCTCCTATTAATGTCAACACTGTATGCTACTATTTTAGGTCATGGTGATAGATCAGGACATTGCGTGCCAGACTCCACTCCAGACTCTTAATGTGGACAGCATGCCTCTCTACCATTGTTCGCAGCAGTTAGGGTCAGAAGTCATGTCCCAACATGTTACCCTTTACATTCAGTTTATATTACAATAATCCCACTTCCCACTCACTAGTATTCCTAGAGATATGTGGAGTGGATTTAGACTTGAACACATGACCAGCTGTTTTATGTCTCTGAGGGCGTCTGAAATGCTTGGAGCCCCAGTCTGGCATCTTAAGGAGGGATGTGGCCAAATGGTTTCCATAACGGCGGATACAGTGGTGTCAAACTGGGTTAGCATGATGCTATTTTTTTATGGCTGAGAGTATTCTGGCCCCATCCATACTGTCTTTATGAGATTCTTCTTATTTTTGTCACATGTCAAATGTCAAAGCAATTAGAGTTGGCAGGGCATCACATTTCAAGATGAAACTATGACACAGAGAACAGCTTAGAACAGACTAACTATTCTACTCATGACTGTAACTGACATTAAGGGGGACAATATTACAATATCCTGAATATTTCATAATATTATTTTCAATTAATATTTCAGCATTAATTTTTTTTCTAGTCTGGAGAGAGAGGTTACATGTGGAAGACAGGGTTATTATTTGTTAGATAAAACTATTTAAAACAATTTGCCAACTGAAAAAAAGCTCAACTAAAATCAAATAAACATTTTAGAAAAATCTTAAACTAAATGAAAATTAGAAATGTTGCTTTGGCAACTAACTGAAATAAATGTAAAATAGGTTCAAGCATTAAATTCACTAAACCGAAAAAAATTTAAACAAAAACCTAGACTTAATTATTAATATTTAAAACAATGACAAAAGCTCAAAGTCATTACTAAAAATTAAACTAGAATTAAAATTAAACCTAAAAATATGAAAATAAAAGCTAATTAATATTGTATTAATATTAATACAAATTATAATCATGCAGGAAAACAATACTAAAATAACACTGGTGGAATACAATGTTTTCACAACTCTTTCCACTCACCTCTCATTGACATTGGATTCCAAACGTGCAAAGTCCTCAGAAACCTCTTTGGTTGTGTCCAGAAGGCTTTGTACATTGGCAAGGATCCCAGACTGGCTAAGGTCTGAACCGAGCTCGACAAATGACTTTAATTGACTCGACTCTTGGGTAATTTCTGATCTCACCTCCTTGAACGAAAAAGAGATAAAAGATGACACCTTTGGACATCTGCCAATAAACATGTAATCTTTCAGAAAGTGTGTAAATCTGTGGCCACATATGTGGAAAACCTAATTCGCTAACCTCTATGGTCTGTCTGTAGTCATCCACGCTGCAGTCAGGTTGGCCTACTGGGCTGAGAGCCCTTTCTCGACTCTGCGTAAAGCTGTGGAGATCTGCACTCTGTCGCTCAAAGCTCTCCAACTTGGGCAAAAGTCCTCGCAACTCAGTCTCTCTTTCAGCCTGTTTGGCCTGGGCCGCAGTGTAGCGTTGACTCAGGTCCTGTAGTGCCCCCTGCAGGCCAGACGCTGTCGATGCATCTGCAGACTTCAGAAGCTTGGACACAGAGTCCAAAGTTGCATCCACGCTGCCCTGCCTTGAAAGCAGCTCCTGACGTATTTTCTGAGGGGGGAGTGCCATGTTTGTAGAAAACATAATTCCTGGATAAGGAAAGTTTTACTTATGATTGTGATGGTACATTTAACAAAATACCTGATTTTGTGTCAGGGCATCCTGAACTGCTTGAGCGGTGGCCTGGACTGTGCCAGTTGATAAAGGTAGTCCATCTAACCATGCCAGCAGTGCTTTGAGCCCCTCCTGAACGCTGACTGATTGGGCAACAGCTGTTTGAAGCTGTTCGGCTCTCACTGACACTGAATTAGACAGGATTTCAAAGCGCTTCTCCAGAGTATCTGAAATGACCAAGAGGAAGTTTAAAATATATGTAAAGGATAATGTAAAGTGAGAAGGTCATTAGCACAAAATAAAAAACAGATCATGTCTTGTATTATTTTTAAAAGGGTATTTTGGAAAAATCACTATAAATTATACTGTCAATCAAACTAAAATATTTGACATCACAGTGACTTTATCTACCAGTCAAAAACAAATATTCCAGTGACTTGTGAAACACGTCACTGGCTGAGCCAATATTGCTGTGTTGGGTTAATTGGATGCTCAATTGGATGCTCGTGGTTGCTAAGAATTTTTTTTTTTGAAAGAATTTAAAACTTTTGTACTGCAAGGATACATTGAATTTATCAAAAGTGACAGTAAAAACTTTCATAATGTTATAAAATATTTCTATTTCAAATAAATGCTGTTCTTTCTATTCATCAAGAAATCCAAAGAAAAAAATGTAATATTAAGCAGCACAACTTTTTTCAACATTGATATCAATAAAATTGCTTTTTGAGCATCAAATCAGCATATTAGAATGATTTCTGAAGGATCATGTGACACTGATGGCTGCTGAAAATTCAACTTTTAGATCACAAAAATAAAATACATTTTAAAATATATTCAAATAGAAAAGATATTCTGAATCGCAATAAAATGATTTCACAATATTACTGTTTTTACTGTATTTTTGATTTTTTTTTTTTAAAACAGCCTTGGTGAGCACTTTACTGTGCTCATTTCAATTTCCTGGTGGAATGAACACTCTTTCAAGTAAATTATTTCCTGATACTGAGAATGAAATTACCTGTAAGATTGTTAATATCAGCATTTTTGAGAGCTGGGGACTCCTGAGTGCTGACCAGCTCTTTTCCTGCCCTCTTGACCTTCTCAAGCTGTACCAAACGCTCTGCCAACTCATCCTGCAACAGCTAACAAAATACAGCAGAAGAGAGAATAAGTAGATTAATTATGATGATTCCTAAGAGAGTATGGAAACTACATTTTGCTTAGGTGATCGTTTCCATTAGTTTATCCATATGGTAAAATTGTTTGTGAGTTTTCCTCAAATATTTTAGCCAGAAAAGCATTAATAACCCAACCTGTACAGTACTGAGCGAATGCTGCAATGTCTGAGTGTCCGTTTGCTCTCCGCTGGCTTTAAATACACTCTGATTTTGCTCCTGAGTGCTCAGCCAGGAGACTAAAGAACCAGCCTCATCTTGGTAGTGTTGGTATCGCTCCAGGAGACCTGAGAGATGGGTGCCAAGCTCTGAGGACTGAAAGAAGGAACACACAAGATTCAGTATCTCTTCAGCCATCTCTTCAGCCCATAATATGTCATTGTTGACTGAAAGAATACGAGGCTGTTTTGTACCCACCTTGCTGTGTAATGAACCGTAGCGCTGTGTGGCATCTTGGAGCTTGCCACTCACTAGGTGTCTGGTTTCCTCCAGAGCTGGATCCGTACTGCCCACCTTCTCCAAGGCCCCCTGGATGGAATCCAGAACCTTCTGCCCAGAGATTGTCACAAAGCGCAGATCTGCTTTGTGACAGATGACATCTTCTGCAAGCTGTAAAATACAGAGAAACACATTCTTAAAGTATTTTACTTTCTACCTGAAGTAAATTTATTATGTTAGACCATATTTTGATACCTTTTTGTGCTCCTCAATCCTATCTTTTAGGCCCTTTGCATCAGTTTCCCCTTCACCGAGTGAATGTAGCTCTTGTTCACTCTGATCCAGCCATGTCCTTAGGTTCCCATGCTCCTGCACAAACTTGGCAAACTCATCTCTGAGGGCCTCTGCCCGCCTCAGCCTGTCCTGACAGTTCTGAAGGCGCTCCTGATGCTGATTCTGTAATTGTTCTAGTTTTGCCCGTAAGCGCTGTTTCTCCTCTGGTGGCACACTGGAGTCGGGCTGTTCCAGGAGAGAGTGGACAGACTGGGCCACCTGCTGAAGGTGAGCCTGCTGAGCTTGTAACTGCTGCAGCTCACTCTGGTGGAATCAACAAAATGCAAACTGGGTACTGCTGACAGACATGATTGACTAATATTAAACATTAGAATCCATGGAACTAAACACTGAACAATTGAAAGAACTTGCTTTAGGGCTGTCCAAAAAATTTATTGAACTTTAAAAAACAAACTTTGCAACTTCAGAACTGACTGAACTGACAAAGGTTCTTAATCAGGGGGCCAGGGCCCACAAGCGGCTTAAGCAAACTTCCAAGGGCTTCCAAAACTTAAATATATGGTAGCCTAATTTTTAAAAGTGTGATTTCCAGATCTGGAAAAGTCATGAAAATCAATAAAATCTCATATCTAAATTTTTTAATGAATATATATTTTTCTAGTTATGACAAGTTCTAAAATATTTTTTTTCGGTAGAAATAAAAAAGATTTTATTAAATCCTTATCTAGTAAATCACGAATAACTGGAAGAGTCAAGGGCCTTTGAATATTGCTGTGGACAATGGAGTCAAAAAGGTTGAGAACCACTTCTTTAGAACTTATGTTAGAACTGAACACATGAACGAACTTTAGAATTGAGTTGCCATATTGGTAAAACAGATAATTACCAACATCAATTTAAGAATCTGACCTGAAGCATGTCACTGTGGGAATTTATAGCATTCTCCGGTGGTACAGATGATGGGGTGTCAGTGACAGTGTTGCCAAGTGACCTCCTCTTCGAGTCATCCAGTGATGACAATTCTCTGAGAAGGGTGTCTATTTTTTCCTGTGTCTCCTGCATCTGCTCCTCTGCTTTAGCCTTGGGAAGAATGAAAATATGATAATGATTAAAAAAAAAGAAGAAATGGTGACAAACGCAACAGAAAAAATGTGAACTGCTTACTCTTTGTGTGTTCTGTTGCAGTGTTGTGACAATGGCAGTGTCTACTTTACTTATTGAAGAGCGGACTGAGTTTGTAAGTGAGCCGTGCTTCTCTTTCAATTGTGAAAGAGTCCCCTGTAGTTTGGCCTTCTCTTCAGGACTCAAACTGTCCCCCTGCTCAGACAGCAACTCCTCCACTGAGTGGATAGTCTCAGTCAACAAGTCACTTTTGGTCTTAAGGTCCTTCTCCACCTCCTTTATTTATGGGGTACAAACAATAACAATAAACCAAACATCACAATTAAAAAAAAAAAAAAAAAATGTATGTCTTATGCAAGACATTGTGTAATACAGCTGCATGAAGTAAATATCAGATGTTATCACACCTTAAGTTCTCTTTGCTTCTGCTGTAACTCGTTCACATCATCTGACTCGGTTCCAACTCTCTGATTGGCCAAGAGGCTGGCAGCACCAGCCAACCACATTGTGAGATTCTCCAGTTTTTGACAGCATTCTGCCTTCTGCTGCTGCACAACCTATATCCACAGTAAAAAGGGAGGTAAAAAAAGTGATAAAGATTTGCATTTGATCAATTATAATCATAATTCTCTTAAACTTCTAAGTATTCATCATACTATCGTTTTTACCCCAATCTCTCATACTTGCCAGATTTCACACAAAGTAAACAATTTACACTGGTTGAGCATGATGTGTCCAAATTCATCACATAAAGCACCAAAATGAACAAATAAAAACACAACAGGCCAGTGAAGCAGAAAAATAAACAAAAGACCTTAGGACAAATACTAAAACATCTCAGATATTTTCTTATTTTTCTACAAAAGAAAGGTTAAAAACAAGCAAGCTATACAGTGAGGCTACATTTAAATCTTTAGTGTTTTCCAAATGTGTCTTCTGTGGCAATCTGTAAAAGCAAGGCAGACAGGTTAATATACATGTTATGTTAATTCACACGCAGCTCGCACACTCAAGTTTGTAATGCAGGTGGCTACAGAACAAAGCTCAACAACAAAGATTTCTATTGAAATAAGGTCATGTTATGTAGCTGGTTAATATACATGAGGTTTTGTCAAAAACGTGACTTGTGATAGTGTTGAAAGCATAAGTTAATAATTATACACTATGTGAGTACAGCATTATATACACTCAACGTTTTTTTTTTAGCAAAAGTAGAAAGCTGAAGTATGAATCTTAGAGCTGTAACAGAATACTGGACTTATGCGCAGTTTGCACTTCAAAGCTATACATTTTCAATACAATAAAGTTGTAAAATTTTCAGGTACAAATATAAAACATCAAAAATTTGTTGAAATTTCTGTCATTCCTAAATGAATATACGTATGTATCGTTTAATATATAAATAAAAAATAATATAAAGGTTTATAATAAGTATTTTTTAATTATTGTTCCTGACACATAAAAATATGTTGCTAAAAAAGTAATGTTTTAGCAGTGGGGCCAGTAAAAAACTTCTAAGGCAACTAAAAATCTAAACTACTGGCTTGACTTAGCCAGCAAACAAAAGTCGTTATTGTTGAGTTCTGCAGAAGCATTACTGAAAAAACAGATCAGCATTATTATAGCGCTGTAAAATTAACTGTACAATTAGATCATACTGATAGTTACATGCATGTGAAGATTAAAAATTTTTAAATGCAGCATTCGTGCTAACAAGTATTCATGTATGCATCAGTAGTGTGGTTATCTGTTACCACAAATGTTCTGTTCTTAATGCATTAGAATTTTTTCTTTATCCCAGTTGAATGATTGTGAGACTGTTAAAAGACTGCTTTTAATTTGGCAGCACAAGCATTTATACATCTCTTTGCAAACCTCTCTATCCCTTGTAGTTTGTCTCTCTTCTTTTTCTTTCTGTTCTTTCCTCATTTGTTGGTTCTCTCTCGTCTGCTGGGCTGATAGTGCCTCTGCCCTGGCATGATTGAGACCAACAGCCTGGTGAAAGACCCTCTGTAGCTGCTCCAGTTGTCCAAGGAGACGCCTGCTCTGATCAGGCAACAGGTCCTGAGCATGTTCAGAGATAAACACCTGAATATTGAACGCCACATTGCTGACTTCATTGGATCGGGCAGCAAGAGAGTTCTGTAACATCTGTAGGGAAAAAAATTAACGACTGTGAAAAAGATGCCATCATTGTAACTACAAATGTAAATATCTGTAAATGCTAGATAGGATATCATCACTGTCGATGTTTTACTTTGCACAACTGTTGCTTTTGAGTGATCTCGGCCACCGTCTGTCCATGTACCCCTGTTTCTTCCTGCATTTGTGTCTCAGTCTCCTTAAGCCAGATAAGAAGTTTATCAACTTGCTCTTGTAAAGCTTTCAGCTGACTGCTTACAGCTTCCTGTAAAAATATAAAAATCATGCAAAGAGACTTCAAATTAATTTTTCTGTCATGAAAAAAATACTCTCTAAACTAAACTTTGTAGGAATTTTTATTACGTTTTGTGCATCACGTTGTGCTCGTAACCCCTGCAAAGTATTCTGGGCAAGGTCCCCGGCTGCACTGTAAGCCCGAGCTAAGCTTCGCCCATCTTTTTCCAGGGCCTTAAGCAGCTGAGGTGGAACATCCTGAGGGTAAGACTCCAGCAGCTGTGTAGCTGCTTCAGTCTCCTTGCGCACTTCTGGTTCCAGGTCACTAATTTCCAGAAAAAGCATCTGAAAAGAGAACTAAATTAAAATACAGCACTTGTAAGCTTAAACAACCTGTTAAATTGGCAACATATCAAACATTTGCTGTAATACAAATCTTTTACCTGTATCTGTTTGATTATGTCATCGATTGTGGAGAGACCTCGACCAACGGACTGTTGCTGCTGCTGCTTTAGGCGGACCTCGATGTGTCTCACCATAGAAAGCAAAGCCACAATCTGTTGGTCATGTTCTAAGCACTCTTGGCGAGCCAGTGAGGACTGAAAAGGAAAGGAAAAGATTAAAAAGAATCAATTTGCAGTAAACAATTTACAAAAACTTAAAAGAAAGATCTTCAGAACTACTGTTTACCTTGCCAGCTTTTGTAGTGTATTTTCTTATTTGTTCAATATTCATTTGAACTTCTCCAGGCTGCGGTTCCACTAAAGCCTCTGCATATTCTTCCACCTCTTCTTTCTGTTCGGTATCAGACTCTGGGATCACCTTCATATGGGGTAGACCAGAAACTTTACATTGTTGGATAGAAGGTTCATCTGTGCCTTCATAATCACTGAAAGGGGGCTCCTCGATTCTTTCTTGATGAACTTCACTGCTTACCTTTTTCACTGCTGTTTTGGTATTTTGTAAAGGAGTACACACCTCACTTGATATAAGTGCTTTGGAGTCCTTCACTGCTGGGATGTCAAAGACACATTTGAGGGGTATTGATTTAGCAATTTCATGGCTGTCAGTCACTGCAGTTCTTGATGGCAAGGTCAATTCACTCATAGGGTCTATCAACATTTCATCTGTATATAATGGCTCAACGCTTTGTTTTTCTGCTGTTCTTTCTTTGGTTTCCCCTTCTAAATTCTGGATTAGAATCAGTTCTTTCTGGTTTATGTTCACAATGTCATCAGAGGTTTTCATAGATGGAATATTCTGATTCATATCATCTCCATTTAATCCCGTGTTTGTATGCTTGTCATGCTGATCTTCTTCCTGTTTTTGAAGCTGTGCTTTAGCTGAGGAGCATGGATCACTATCAGACCCAGGTAGAAGATTCTCTGCAATGTTTGGCACTGACCTTTCGTTAATTTCTTGCCTCGTCTGGTGTGGTTTATTGTCGTTCTTCTTACTTTGAGGAGGCTTACAGCTTGTCTTTTCTACAATAGTTTCCTCTTGGGTGGTAATGCGGTATTCTCCATTACTAGCTACTTGACGCATCGCTTCTAATTCTTCAGGAGCTTGTTTTTCACTCACTCCTCGCTCAAACACCTTCCTAAGAATGCTTTCCTTAGCTTTCATCAAAAGTTTTTCCTTCTGTGCCGTTGCCTGATTGGCTTTCTCAAGTTGCTTCATACTTTCTTTCTCATCTGATTGACTGCTTTGAAGTTCGACCTCATGGATCATAGTCTTATGCTCTTTCTCAGTCTCATCATCTCTTTTCTCTACTCCTTCTGCTTCAACAATACACACTTGCTTAACTTTTTTACTTTTGCTTTTCTTCTTTCTCTTCTTTTCTGATATATCAGTGGCAAGGTCCTTATGCAAAACAATAGCCTCCTGACCCTGGTCAGTTTTTGCCATGCAAGTTGTGACACTGTGCTGTGTTAGAGTCTTCTCTTTCTGTCTTGCATTGCTTTCATGATCAGACTCACGGTTGGAGGTTTCAGTTTCATTAGGAGTTCTATCCACACCTATTTCCAAATATTTCTCATCATTCCCTGTCACAGGTGTAAGGATACCACTTGCATGGGATGTCTCTGATAGCTGTACTTCAATCACCTTCTCTTCATCGTCTTTCATAATAGGCTTTTGACTAGTGGTAAAGCCACCTTGTCCATCATCTTCTGCTTTTTCTATAGGTGAAATCCTGGCTAAGGTGTCTGAAACTTGTGGCTTTACATCACTTTCCATTTTAGCTTGCTTAACATTTTTCCCTCTGCCTTTCTTTTTTCCTGATGCCTTAACTGACCTTGTGGGTGTAGAAGCATAAGGATCCAATCCAGTCTCCTGGCTGTCCTTGATTTTCTCTTGTTGGGATACTGACTGATCTGCTTCTAGCTTGAAACTATGCCCTTCTATTTGCTCTATAGATGCGGTTTGTTCCTTGTTTTGCAAGCCATCATCAGTGTTTAATAAATTGATTGCAGGTTCACTTACTGTCTGCCTTTGGATCTTTCTCTCTCCTTTTGTTTGCTCTGTAGATGGGACTTGTTCCTTGCTGTTATCACTGCTTTCTAATAATATGGCAGTAGAAACCGCAGATTTATTTACTGTCTGCCTCTGGATTTCCAACTCTGGGGTGTTGCCAAGTAAAGCTGTTGAGTTCTTAACTTCCACCTTTTGCGATTTGATATCAGTAATCTCTTCAGGTTGCTCAGGGCTTTGAATTGGCTGTGATTTTATATATTCGCTTTCTGTGGGCTTTATCTCTTTAATGGCCTGCTGAAGTCTCTTTTCTGCTTTCAAGGTAAATTCTGTCAGAACCTCCAATGATGTATCATTGCTGTCCTGCATCACTGCATCAACCAATTGTTCCTTACTTTGCAAATCAGGACGGACGTCAAAAGATTCAAGCTCCTCTTTTTTCAGAGGATCTGCATCTTTTATTTCAGCCTCTGTAAGATATGATGATGGTGGGGATGGTATACTCAATAGACTTTTCTCAAGTGACATTTTATTAGGACTGACCCGCTCTGATATCATCTCAGGAAATAAATAACTAGATGGTCCTTTCATTAAAGCAGCTGTTATTTTGGAACTTTTCCTCTCATCTTCATCTACAAGGCCCATGCTGTGTTGAAGTTCTGCAGCCATTTCTGTAGAAATAAGCCCATATTCAACTGCCTCAGTAATGCTGAAAACCCTCTGTCCACTGGCTGGACTGAGCAACCCCCCTTTCAAGAGTTGATTTGTAGCAATACATTTAGCCATGTCTTTATCAACTAAGCCTTTATTTATAGCCTCTGGAAGAAGCAAACGCTCTCCACTATAAATGTTAATGATACCCCCTGTATCTGCTTGACTCTGCAATATTCTTACTGCTGGTATGGGATCTACTTGGCCTGCCTTAATTGCCTGTGGTATGGTCATCATTTCATCAGTTTGTTTATGTGGAACACCCCTGAAAGGTCTCACTTCAAGGAATCTCTGTCCGGTCTCAATGTCAATTTTACCCTGGTTTATCAGCTCAGAGTAGGACACAACACAAGCTTTATGAGGGTCCAACAATCCACTCTTCACATTGGGTGAGGCCATAGCTTTATTTGCCGTTTCATCATCTAGAAGGCCTTTAGAAACAGCCTCGCTCAGAGTAATCCTGCTTTTTGATGCATCATCATAAATAGAACCTGTAGAGGCCTGAAGAAATGAAGTGTCTTGATCCAAACTACATGGCTCTTGGCCTTTGAAAGCCTTTTCCAGTTCCATGAACTTTGGAGCGACTGTGTGATTTATGAGACCCAGGTGTAGTGCATCCACAACAGTAAGGCGAACACCAGAGCCATGATGCACAATACCACCTTCTGCAACCTGCTGGCATAGAATCATCTGAGCCTCATCCTGTCCAATTAAGCCAGTTTGAAGGGCTTGTTCCAGTGAGACAGGCTTTTCGGTTTTTGGGTCCACCACTCCTTTCATTTGTAACTGTAGTGCAAACTTGGTTTGCACTGCATTTTGATCTGAACATTTTCTTTTGCATGACTTTTCCAGTGAAAGAAGCTTCTCTTTCCTACCTTCTTCAATCAACCCAAGGTTGGCTGCAAGGGTAACTGATACCTTCTTGTCTCTTCGTAGGTCAACTATTCCCCCTGACACAACCTGGGCTTCAAGAAGTCGAACAGCCGTATCAGAGTCCAACAGGCCTGCCTCAGCAGCTTCCTTTACTGAGCAAAGCTGACCATGCTCCACATCAATCACACCGGCTAATATATTTTCTGAATGAAGAACATGGGCCATCAAGTCCTCATCCAACAGACCTTCTTGCATCACATCCTCAACACTAAGTGACTTACAGGCTTTAATATCCAGAAAACCACCAAAGAGACCAGCTTTTTCCATAAGCTTAATAGCAGTGTGCCCTGGAAGCAAACCCTGTTCCAGAGCTTCGTCCAAGAGAACTTTCTGGCCACCTACAGTTACAAGACCCCCTTGTTGCAGATCCATTGCCATACTCCCAAGCTTCACATCATCATCACTTAGTTCCACTGACAAAGTCTTCCTTTCTGAAGGGTATAATTTCTCATCTTTACCAGGCTGATAAAAGATTATTTTATTTTCCTCATATTCAACCATTTCCTTTAGTTCCTCTGGCTGTTTTGCAGTCTTGGCTTCATCTGGTTTGACATTCAGCTGATCATACTGTCTTACATTTACAGTATCTTGTAGTGAAGTATGTGCACTGCTTTCACTCATGTCAAACATTTTTTGTTCTGTTATCTCTAGAAATACTCCATTACTATCTGCTTGTTCCAGGACAAGTGTTTGCTTATTTTTAGACTCATTTAATGTTGAATCTATAATTTGATTCTGAGAGGGCGCCCCATTATCTGATATAGTCTTCGGTAGAGTTGAGCTTGTGTGAAAAGGCACTGTTAAGTTTAGGTCTTTCAGTGTCGAGGGTGCAAGATGCTCCTCTGTCTTTTCTATAGTCTCACCCAGCTCAGTCTTCATGTTGGCAATTTTATTTACTTTAATATTGGGCTCTTCATATAGTCCTGATGACAGAACATTCTTTTGCCAGTAATCTTCTTGAGAAGGCTCTATAAAGGCTCTTACTGTGGCGGTCAAGAGTGGAAGCTCTTGCTCTGCTCTTTCTATAGTCTCACCCATTTCGGTGTTCTTCCAGTCAATTTCATCTTTTTTAATCTTATGTTCATCACATTCTCCTGACAAATGTTTCTCTTGCCAAACCTCATGTGAAGGCTCTATTAAAGTTCCTTCTGTGCCCGTCAAGGGTGCAAGATCTCCTTCTGCTCGATCTATTGTCTCTCTCACATCAGCATACCTCCAGGTAATTTTACCTTTTAAAATTGTAGATTCATCACATTCTCCTGATGACAGAACTTTCTCTTGTAAAACCGCATGTGAAGGCTCCATAAAAGTTCCTTCTGTGCCTGTTAAGGGTGCAAGATCCCTCTCTGCTCTTTCTATCATCTCACCCATACCAGTGTCCTTCCAGGCAATTTTACCTTTCATAATCATGGGTTCTTCATATTCTCCTGATGATAGAACTTTCTCTTGCCAAACAACTTCATGTGCAGGCTTTATAAAGTTAATTTCTGAGCTTGTTAAAGCTGCAACATCCTCTGGTCTTTCTAGTGTCTCACCCATGTTAGTCTTCTTGCTGACAGTTTCATCTTTTTTAATATTGGGTTCTTTATATTGTCCTGATGAAAGAACTTCCTCTTGTAAATTCTCTTTATTTAAAGGCTCTATAAAAGCTCTGTCTGCGTCTGTCAAGGGTGCACAATCTTTCTCCGCTTTTTTTATCATCTCACCCATACCAGTGTTCCTCCAGGCAATTTTACCTTTCATAATAATGGGTTCTTCATATTCTCCTGATGACAGAACTTTCTCTTGCCAAACAACTTCATGTGTAGGCTCTATAAAGGTTATTTCTGAGCCTTTTAAAGCTGCAAGATCTTGTGTCTCACCTATGTTAGTCTTCTTGCTGGCAATTTCATCTTTTTTACTCTTGGGTTCTTTATATTGTCCTGACGATAGAACTTTCTCTTGTAAGTTCTCTTTATGTAAAGGCACTATAAAAGCTCTGGCTGTGCCTGCCAAGGGTGCAAGATCTTCCTCTACTCTTTCTACTGTCTCACTTATATCAGTGTTTGTCCAGGCAATTTTACCTTTTAAAACTTTGGGTTTTTCATGTCCTCCTGGTGACAAAACTTTCTCTTGCCAGTCCTCTTTATTTGAAGGCACCATAAAGGGTCTGTCTTTACTCACCAAGTGTGGAAGATCTTTCTCTGCCAGTTCGATAGACTCACCCACAACAGTATTATTGCTATCAATTTCATCTTTTTTAATCTTGGGTTCTTCACATTCTCTTGATGATAGAACGTTCTCATGCCAAACCTCTGCATGTGAAGGCTCTATAAAAGTTCTGTCTGTGCCTGTCAAGCACGCAACATCTTCCACTGCTCCTTCTATAGTCTTGCCCATGTCAGCGTTCTTCCTGTCAATGTCACCTTTTTTAACCTTGGGTTCTACATAGTCGCTTGATGACAAAACTTCTTGAATCTCTTCATTTGAAAGCTCTTTAAAAGCCATGTTTGTTTCTGTCAATGGTACAAGATCTTCTGCTCTTTCTACTGTCTCTCCTATATCAGTGATCTTGCAGACAATTTTACCTTTTATCTTGGGTTGTTCATACTCTTCTGATGATAGAACTCTCTCTTGCAAAACTACTTTATGCAAAGGCTCTTTAAAGGTTTTGTTGGTGACCATCAAGGGTGCAAGATCTTCCCCTGTCATTTCTATAGTCTCTTCCAAATAAGAGTCCTTGCAGGCAATTTCATATTGTATAATTTCGGGTTCTTCATGTTCTTCCTCTTCAATCCCACTGATAGCTTCACTGACCACTGTAACTCTAATGTTATCAGAGATTTTGTGTTGGACTGGTCTGACAAGGTTTGTGGTTTTAACATTTTCACATATTAGTTCTACCAGTTCAGGTTCTAGTAGGACTAGACGTTCTCCTGAGTGAGCATCAATGTAGCTGTGTGTCATCACTTGAGTGAGAAGGTGGTATTGAACCTGTTCTTCTGACCTACCTTCCTCCATGATGGAAAAGTCATAATTGACATCTGCATGTGAGGCAGGGGGTGATGAAGAATAGGCAGATTCAGAACTCAATCGCTTCATATATGAGGAATTTGACTGAGTCACATTGGGAAGGACATCTGGAAGCTGGATCTGTTTTAGGATCTTCACTGCCTGAGGCTTAAGTATCTTATCAGCTTGATGCAGAGGGACCACCTGTCCACTCTCAGGCAGATATACTGCACCAACAGAATGACGTTTTCTCAGGGCTTTTGCAGCAAGCTCTCTATTGACAACACCCTGCTGAAGTGCCTCACTTACATGAAGCAACTCCCCTGATTCTGGCCACATTATTGCCATGAAAGACTGGAGAGATTGAAGTACATGTAAGGCTATGCGAGGAGAGAGAAGGTCTCTTTTTATGGCTTCATCCAACTCTAGACGCTCCCCACTGACTGGATCTATTATTCCCCCTGCTTGTAGCTGTCGTGTCATGAGGGTGCAGGCCAAGTCCTGATCCATTAGGCCATGCCGGACAGCCTCATTAACAGTCAATCTGTGTCCCGAGCGGGGGTCTGTGATACCTCCAGCAAACAACTGAGCCTCCAGAAGTCGAACTGTGACATGCCGGTCGATAAGCCCCTCTTGAACAGCACAGAATATTCCCACCTTTCTGCCAGAGCATAAGCAGACAGTTCCTCCTGGCTTCTGTTTAACTGGAAAGAAGCGCAGACCTGTCTCTTGATTGATAACACAACGCTGTTGAAATTCAACCAGACTTAGTTTTTCTGCTGTATTTGGATCAATAAGTTCTCGCCGGTGAAGACAGGATTGCAGCTTTTGACAAAGATCAGGGGATAACAATCCCTTCTCCCTTGCATTATTCAGGCTGACCATTTCTCCATTGGGACCAACCTTCAGGCTGCCAGTGCTTATCTGCAGCTCAAGTATACGTAGTCCCACCAGCTCCTTTATGACATCTTCTTTCATAGCAGTGGCGACTGGTAATTCCTGACCCTCTGCAAATTTTACTGTGTTGACAAGACCAAGGGCAGTCTCTAACTCTTCCAGTGATTGGTAAGTTTGTTTATCAATCAAACCACTGGAAAGACCCTTATCTAATGACAGTTTATCAGGGGAGTCATACTGGAATAGACCACCCATGATGAGCTGTGCCTCCAACAGTACATGACAGGTGTCTTGGTCTATGAGGCCACGCTGAGCTGCCTGGAAAACGGGAAAGGTTTCCATGGTGCCAAGGTCAATTACTCCAGCGATGACTTCTTGGCCCTATGAAAAGGTAAAAATCATAAATTTTCAAAATGGTTCTTATTTGATTTTGCAGTGTATTTTTATTCACAGTTTAACTGGGAGGGAAAGAGAAAAATGGCCATCACCATAGCTGAAGTAACTTGATACTAATATTCATGCATTTATTCATGAGTATAAAGAAAAATTAACAAAAATACCAAGTATCATGTTCTTTAAAAACATTACATTTTGTACATGCAAAAAACATTTGGCAGGACAGCACTGCAGTGTGCAAGAAATATGCAAAAATGCACAAACTGAACATTTAAAATACACTAAGAGGCCAAAGAAAAGAGAAAACAGATCTTAAGAACATATTGCTAGGTCAGAAAGAAAGCAACGGTAAGAAAGAAAGCAAGCACTACTTACCGTGTGAGGTGGTCCTTAGACGCACACACACTGAGTGTTCGGCGGTTTGAGGTGCGATAGGGTGAGAAGCCGGATGTTAGCGATCTGCATGCCACACTCCAGCTGCCTGATATGCAACCCGGGACTGGCTATCTACATTTTCATACCTCTGTTACCTAATTTCATACACTGAGTTCTTACTAATTATTTGTTTTGAGACTTACCTATGAATGTGTGAAGATCTTGGTTGGTATATACACACAATTTTTTATTACTAATCAACTAAGGATAGTCCTGCATTCTGAATAACGCATTTTTCTTACTCCCAATTCTGAGATGATGTCTTACATTTTCTCCCGGCAGCTGTTAGTGATTTTGAAGCAAAATGCTGATTACATTTCACAAAGAATTACAGTATTAAAGACATGGACTGAAAACAATATCACACATACAAACACACAAACAAACATAGCTGTGATCTGGACACATCATGCTCAAAGAGTGAGGTGGAGGTTTGCATAGCTGCTTTTTGCGCTAAGTCTAGACCAATCCACAGGAAAAATATTTTGAAGGCTGATCTTGTTTATATCTTTAGCTTCTAGCCATTCAAACACAAACATACCATTGTTCACACAGTAATCACTACATGATGAATGATATACGTATGGGTGAACAGTTCTACACAATGTTTGTGGCTGCATGTGGCAACAAAACAATATGAATGTAATGACATTTATGCCTTTAAATTTACATGTTTATATGTGCCTTATTTAAATGAAATGTAAAAAAGAAAAAGAAAGAAAGAAAAGGCTAATCTACAATGTGCATGTGGCTTCAATGGGCACTAAAGTGGCCAAAGAAGCAGTTTCTGATGCCAAAAAGTCACACTATCCTACTCTAATGAACGATGAGTTGCGTTTAAGCAGATGTGCTTGATTAATAATGACAAATAAGGATGGTGTTGGTGACATGATATCAGGCATGTTGTAGAAAATAGGAATGGTTAAGATTTCACACCATGCTATTAATTTTTTTATAACTGTTAAATAAGACAATATCTGTGAGATGTATGAATGTGGTGATGAATGTTAAACCACACGTGACAGGCAACATAAAAAAAAACAAAAATAATTCACTCGCGCTAGCTCACACATACACACTGCTGTAGCATATCTCTAGCACACTGACAAAACTTGACCATAACGAAGACCACTATTTAAAGCAATATATTTCAGATGCATTTCAAGACAAGCTTTTTGCTGTTGAAGCTCGCTTTGGCAAAGTTGAACACTGCTGTCACGGCTGACTTTCTCTTGCCCCTCTAACTCTACCTTGCGCTTCTCCTCTTTGGCCAGCTGCTCCTCCAGTTGTTGCAACTGTGCGTTAGAACTGTCACACAGTTGAGTGTAGGTGGCCGTCAGTTCATCCAGCTGGGAGACCACCTGTGCACGCTCTTCAGGAGACAGCCTAAAGATAAATGCGCTTCATTAATAACAACCTATGCGTTTGTGTTTGAGTAAGTGCATGTATATTTAACATTTACTGGTACTTAGAGGTGGATGTGAATATAGTGCAGTTGTTCTCAAACTATGGTACACAGCACAACCCCAAGAGGCCAGGGTTACTGTAAAATAAATCTATTAAAAATCATATTTGATAATTAAAATAAAGCTGAAATAAAAATAAATGAAAGGTAAATAGAAAACAACTAATACAAAATTACAAAAGCACATAAAATCACTATAATGAACTAAAAATGAAAATAGTATTAAAACTGAACATAAAATCTAATTCCAAATATGAATATTATACTAGTATATAAATAGTATATATTAAATATACTGAAAACATATTTCTCATGTATAATTTATTTCAAATTTCTTAATTATTTACAATCTAATTTTAATGCAAAGCCCTATCTTATATGCTGCAGCTTGCAGGCTATTTCTTCTTGTATCCATTTTAATCAGAAAAAAATAAGACAAGACTTTTTTTTTTTTTTTTAAGTTGTTGCAAATATGAGCTGGAGTAAATGCTCTAAAATATATTGATCTCGACTTGGTAGCACTTGGTATAAAAAGTCTGAGAACCGCTGTATGTGTGTTGAAGGTCGTATAGTGCAAACTCACTTGCTGGCCTGTTTTGACATCAGGAAAACTTGGGTGCTCCTGATAGCTTCAGCAACTTCCTCTTTTTTAGCTGCTAACTGCTCACTTATAGCCTAGAAGTGAGACAGATACAGTATTTCAAAGCCACTTTGACACATACAATCTACTCAGTGTTGACTGACACACTACTGTATGTAGAATACTTAAAAATAGGCAATATTCTATTTTCACTCAAAATCTACCTGCTGTGCAGCAAGTGATGGCTCGGCAGATCTGCCAGTGTGCTCCTGCAGGCCCTTGACCCAGCCGATCAGCTCTGAGACCTGGCCCACTCGTGCCTGCCTCTCTTCTTCCACCTCTTTCTGTACCACAAAGTGGAAACATTTTCATTAAACATACACTGTATGATGAAATCTGATGTTGTCTTTATTATATGAATACTTGTGCAAGTATACAGTAGGTAAAAATCAAAACTGAATTTAGGAGACTTAGGAAAGCATAACACACCTCTTCCTCCTCTAGTCGTCGTAGTGCATCACTAATATACTTGACATGTTGCGTTGTCAGGGTAACCAGAGCTGTGTAGCGTGTGCGTAAATCCATAAACTAAGACGTAGTAGAAAAATGTGATTAAAACATTTGAAGTCAACGTGAAAACTAATAGAAATGTTATAAATATATTAAATGAATGTCATATGAGCCTGGTTTTCCTGCATTTACCTCCTGTGTGATGACATCTGATGAAGAGTGCATCCTCCTCCTTTTCACAGGGGACTTCTGGGTTGATTCAACAAAAGCTCTGAACGTCATCAGTTGGAGTTCATAGTCCTAATGCATAAAATGGAAGACATGGTCTAGTAAGGAGAAATATATTTTGTGAAACAAGTGTTTATGTTTCCATTTCTCCATGATGACTACCAGTAAGCAGTAGCCGACACTGGTCACTTTGACTGAGTGCTTACCTTAACAGCAGCGCAGTACTGTTTAGAGTACATCTGGCATTCATCCAGTTTGACCTGGTTCTGTTCTATCTCAGCCACCAAGGCCTGCAGAAGAACAGATACTGAATCAAACACTGATCTGTTTTACAACGCTTGGAAGTATTCATCAATATTGTGAGAGTGTCGTCTCTCACCGTTTGCTGTGCGAGCTGTTCTGACAAAGCTCTGCTGTCCGTCTGCTCGGGTTGCGTGTTCTCCTGTTTTTTGGTGGTCTCCTCTATCCAGTGGATAAGAGAGGTGTGGCCTTCTCTGTACTGCTGCAGCACTGAACCCAGCATCTCCAGATCCGCTAACCTGTAGGACATTATGCTTTATGTTATAATCTGGAATATTACAGAAAATATTGGTACTCACTCTCTCGCTTTTGACTTCGAAACAACTCACCGTGTCTCCATTTGCCTGCTCACTCCACTCCACCTCTCTGTGAGCTGTTGCGCTTTCTCCTGATAGCGGTCCAGTTCAGGGCTGCGGTCAGGGTGCAGTTGGTTGAGCTGGTTTCTGACCTCTCTAGTCTGCTGGACCTCTAAACTCAGACTCTTGAATATGTGATCCTGCTCCTCCAGCTCTGAATGCCATTTCTGCAACAGCGTGACAGAGTGTGAAATGCAACCAAAAAGTAAACAGTAAAGCTGCCTTTCCACTGTCTCTTACAAACAACAGATCAGAAGTTACTAATTTCCAGAGCTATCTGGAGTTCCGATCATACACATCTGCAGAATTATCGGATCTGATTTGAACTTCGGGTACACTGAAACTGAACTTCACCCACCAACCACCAACCAGATGTGATGTATTCTAATTAAAACTGAGTGTGAAGTAAACAGTAAACTTTAAACACAATTTCTGTAAAATGGGAGGTTGTTTAATGTTTGTATTGTTTGTTTGTATGGATATATTCATAGCATGGTGAATAAGCAGAAGGTAATTGCTTTTGCACAACCAATCTGAAAGTTCTGTGCAACTGTCACTAGGGGGCGAAATGCAATTTTAGTGAATGTCGAAGGTAGTGGGAAAGCATTTTAACAAAACGTCTGCGTCATGCATCTATTTCTTTTGAGGTAGCAAAATCCTTCCCTAAAAAAAATGTTTTTGAATAAAACAAATATTGTCTTATGAAGATAATAACAAATGAACAAATATTTCTTTGGCGATTAGTTGATATGGTTGATATATTAGTCAACTACTAGCAAGGAATGTGGTCAAGTGTCTGCGTTTCTCACCTTTAACTGCTCTCCCAAGGCCTGGATTGCAGCAGTATCAGCGGGCACAATATCCTCTTCACTCAGTCGACTCTCATACTTTCTCACCTGACTTTCTGCAGCCTGCAGGCTTCTCATCAACACATCAACCGTCTTCAATCTGGCAGATACAGAGAAACAGACACTCAAATTATGGTTGTCCCTAAGGCTAAACAAGGCTTGATGACTAATTAGAGTACATGAATTGAAATGACTTTGTGTACTAACTTTTGCAGATAAACAGAGGAGAGGGAGTTGAGTTTCTCTATGTGCTCTACGGCCAGGTTGAGCTCAGAGCGTAGGACAGGCACACTAGAAGAGGAAGGCTTCTCCTCAAAGAAGCTCACGCAGCGACGAGACACCTCACCCAAATCTGACTGAAGTCCTTTCAGATCCTGCTGCAGTTTCTGTAAAACCATTAAAGGATTCTTCAGATTACATTTCTTTTTTTTAAGACTCCATGAAATATAAATGACATTTGCAGCTTTTAGTCCATGACTGTTAAATCTGAGGTAATCTATAGAGTAGTGTAGTCCTAAAAGTTGACCAAATGAACTGATATGAAATGAAAACAATTATGCACATTTAAATTACAGTCTTTCTCTTCTGGCAAAAGTGACAAAAATATTGGCGACTCAACTTGCAATAAGAGGCACATTCATAAACCGCTTATTAGCCATGATATATATATATATATATATATATATATATATAATATAATATAAATAGTATACAATAAATTTATATCAGTGCAACATATTTCAATTACTGAAAGAGAAAAGTGACTGTAAAGTAATTAAATGAAGTCACTGTTGTTACTGTTAACTAAAACTTAAACTTTAACAATTTTCGGCAACTGAAATAAAGCTGATATAAAATAAAATATTAGATGAAAAACTTGGCAACTAACTCAAATATAAGTATCAAAATTACTTGAAATCTATACAGAAAAAAAATCTATAAAAATAAAAACGAAAAAGCACATAACAAAACTACTCAAACTAACATTAAAATTAAAATTGAAAACACAAAATAAAAGCTACTTAAAAAATAATACACATTACAATAGTCTATGAATAATACTTCAAAACTTGTAAACTATAACTATAAACTATTTAATCACTGTAAGTAACACATACTGCAGTGTTCTGTATTTAAAAGCATTTTTTGCAGAATTGACAGTACTCTTTATAGTACTACTATATGGACTAGTTTATTTATGTCAGCTAAAAACTGCAGATTCACAGTTATTGAGGTGATTGACCAGTAGAGTGCGTAGTTGTGCTGATCACTCCTCACCTCTTGCTCTGCTATGTGAACTGCATTGTCTCCTGATATTGTGCTGGGGTGTGGAGTCTGTATGCCACGCATCAGTCTACTCTCTGCATCCTCCAGATGCGACTTGATGCTCTGCAGCTCTGAGAGGTAAGCACGAGAGGCCAACTCATCCTTCTCCACTGAAAAAAAAATATATAATAATTTTTAGCACCATGTCATATGGTTTCATAGTAGGGGTGCTCAGATTGATCGGCTACCAATCACAATCGGCCGATAATCACGTTGGGATGGGTCTCTAAAAAGGCAGATCTCAAAAAACTGATCTCAAGCTGATGACACTGCCGTGAGAGGTTTGGCACAGCATGCACCGTCACCGTATCAGTCTCTGTCCAGCGCGGGTACAATAATTATAATGCTGAAGGTGAGGTACTCACCTTCAGATTAAAGTCTATGGTGTTTCACAATCAACACATATGGCTTTTTGGCTATGTTTAAAGGAAAAGAGCACTTTTAGATCAACAAGGCAATAATAGATGGCACTTGTGGAGGTAGGAAAAGGTAGGAAAGTTCTTTATGAACGGCAGGATTGCTTGTAATAAAGATTTCAATGCAAAAGGAAAGGCAGTAGAGCTGACTATTTCTGTCAATGGTAAGTTTGTGATAACGTAAGAAAAGCAGTTTAAATGTTTTGACACTTGCTTGAGCAACTTAATATATAAACCTAGAAGTAAACGCAAAAGTAAAAAGCATTGAATAATGTGTTGTTTATATTTATTGTGTTTAAGCATGTCTGTGTATTACTGTACTGTGTAAAAATAGAACTGCAATGCTGAAAAAGCATTTTCAGTGACAATGTTTGGATCCTAGAAGTAAACGCAAAAGTAAAAAGCATTGAATAATGTGTTGTTTATATTTATTGTGTTTAAGCATGTCTGTGTATTACTGTACTGTGTAAAAATAGAACTGCAATGCTGAAAAAGCATTTTCAGTGACAATGTTTGGATTTGAAATCAAAATAATGGATAAATGTTGTGTTTGTGGTAAACAGCCATGGATCAGTAGCGGACTCCTGTGTGAAAACTGCTTCTCCTCTCACAAGAGACACCTAGAGGGGAATTCCCCCCATTTTCAAAATTGAAATTCAGGCCCTGAATAAATGTCTAAAAATCCTGATTGGAATATCACTATAAATAGTTATAAATGATAAAAAGAAGGCTTTAAAAAGACTGGTATCGGTGATCAGTATCGGCAGATACTGCTTTCTGTGATCAGTGATCGGCCTCAAAAATCCTGATCAGAGCACCCCTATTTCATAGCAAGTAATCAATACACTCATGAACACCGTAACATCTTACCTGTCTCCAAAGAGACCTGCAATGCTTGGCAATGTTCCCGGCAGTTCTCAGCTTCTCGCTCTAGCTCACAGCGTTCAGTTGGCATGAAAAGGGAGCTCTCGCGACTGTCCGTAAGGAAGTCGGACAAGTGGGCGTCAAGGTTGTCTAAAGCCTGCTGCCTCTCTACTGGAGCCTGCAAGCGCATCTAGAGAGACAGACAAATGATTATGACAAACCTCTGAAAGAGTCCCAATAAGAGAGTGGTGGAACTTTGTGGTACTAACTGTGTCCAGACTCCAGGAAGAAATATTTCGTATGTCTTTCTGCAGGTAGTGCCAGGAGACCCCGCTCTTCATGTTGACATGCAGCTGGTGCCATAGAGACATGACGTTCTGGTACATCTGCTCCATTCTACACAAAGAGAAAATAAAATCTTACATAGTTTACATAGTTATGAAATAAAAAAGACAATACAACATAATACAAATACAATGCAAAATATATGAATTATCTTAATTATATATATCTTTCCTAATAATTGGTGTTGGTGTTATAGTGCACAGTTCATCATTCTTAAAAAAATAAGTACACTAATAAATACATTTTGCCCAAGACAACTTGAGTGGTGTTTGCCCCAGTGTTATTTTAATATTATTGACATACTATTGTTGTATTTATTCATATTTTGAATTAGCTTTCATTTTTAGTTTTTATTTTATAAGTTTTAGTCATTTTATATGCTTTCGTCATTTTTTTAATATTTCTATTTAGCTTTATTTTTAGTTCAGTTATAGTTTTAGTAATTTTTGTACTGTACTGTACTTACACTTATTTTATTTCAACATTTTTAAAATTTTTAATTAATTTTTTTTCATCTGATATTTATATTTTATTTCAGCTTTATTTAAATTAATGAAAACAATTTTAAGTTAAGTTTAGTTTAATAGTACTTCTGGGTGGCTACTTACTGGGCCAAAAGCAAAACATTTTTTTGTGTGTGTGTAATTAATTTCCATTGTATAAACCTATGCACAGCGTGTTATTTCTATGCCATACATTGTTTCACTCAAAAATATGCCACATTACAGAAGACATATTCCTGAATGTGTGTGAGATCCTAATTAACGTGTTTATAAGGAACCTGTAAGGATCTGTGTGCTGTACCTGCTGGCAGTGTCGATGGCTTCCTGATTAGGGGGAGGAATGGTGAAACACACAGATGGCACCATGGCCTCATTTCCTGTGGGACTGATGACCTTCCACTTAGTTCTCTGAGAATTATCCTCCAATACACACTCCTCCCCTTTGCTGATCGTGATCTGAGAAAGAGAGAAAGATGGAGACAGAAACAGAAAAGAAAGGGACAGAAAAAGGGATGGAAAAAACATAATGGGTAAGGGAGAGAGGATTTGAAAAATTGAGCAAAAAAAGCAGAATCGATGGTCAAAGTTGATTAAAAAGTAAAGGGATTCAAAATATTAACCAAAGGATGAGGAATAAAATGTTAATGCTAATGGCCTTCATATGAATTGAATTACGTGAAATATGTATTTTGTGGAATAATGCCTTTCTGCACTAATATATCTTTACAACTGACCTGGCAAAAAATAATAAAAAATTCCAAAGCACTCATCTTGTTCAATTTAATGTCAAATTGCAGTTGCCTTTTCAGCCTAGCTTTGCCCAGGCTAACATGAAAGCTAAAGGCTTCAATAATCCTCAGGGCAACATAAAATGAAAAGCAAGCAAATAAAAAATGTGAGAGCACTAGTGTCCCACCTCAACTCTCACCATATCCCTTGCACACAGAGAACATTATGATTCACAATATGTTGCGTATTGGTAGGAAATTATAACTAACAGAGGGTTACCATCTGCTTGTGACTGATAAATACAATATAATTAAAATGGCATAGCAAGTCAACATGCAACATGCTCCCACCATGGAAAATAGATGATCTATTGGGCTGGGAGAAAAACACCTAATTCTTAATATATATGCGCTATTTCACAGTAACGCCTGAGGTAAAGCAGGGGTCCCTTGTGTGCAGGGCCAGGCCAGAAAGCAAAGGTCAGAGGAGGAGAACGGTCGGCAATAGTACCTGAGAGTTGGCCTTGCCCAGCCCCGCAGACACACATAAAGAGCAAGGGAGACGGAGGGGAACAGAGAGAGAAAGACGGGGTTAAATGGATGGAAAAGGAAAAGGAGGAAAATTGGGGGAGGGCAGAGAAAAGGGGGGTGGGACAGGGATAGAGAGGGAGAAAGAGATCACTTTTGGGCATTTAGCAGTTCTCGCCTGACCGAGATAATATGATCAGGAAAAGAAACAGGGCCATAGCTGGGAGAGTGTTTGTGAGTATTCTGCATACAAATGAATATTCAATAAATGACAGCATCTCATTTCATCATTTAAATAGAGTATGTGATGTGTGAATGAAGAGCACCATTAGGGATGTAACGGTATGAACATTTCTTATCACGATTATAGTGACCAAAATTATCACGGTTATCAGCATTATCACGTCACTTCCTTTAGGTATTACATAAGAGTGAAGATGAAAACAAATGCCATCGAATCGTTTCTGAAGACAGTCAGAACCTTCAGAGGTACATTCATATAATTAATTCATTCATATATTCATTTGTATAATTCCCTTAGCACTCTTTTAAAACCTCCCAGCTTTTCCGCCCTGTTTTTACACAAAACGAAACTACTCTGCGTGCTGTGCACACGTGAGACTGTTACTTAAAACTGTGCTTTATGCTGGACAGTATTTATTTATCGTGAGTTGTTCAAATCGCGTTACTCTAATACGGTTTTAATGATAATTAAGAGATGAAACGGTAATACTAACCGTGGGGAATTTTATCATGATTTATCGTCAAACCGGTAATCGTTACATCCCTAAGCACCATATATTTAAATTGGTAGATTAGATATGCTATAGCAGGTCTGTTCATCACTCATAATGTGTCACACCTCCACTTTCCCAGAATTCTTTGCCAACAGCTAAATGGGCAAACATAGGACAGATCTTTTGGATATGTTTTGGTCAATGGCACCTTTACCCCTTATACTTGCCTTCAGAGCTCCAGGGCGATCTATAACCAAGTACGTGTAGATGGTCTCTGGCTAGTGCCCTTAGTGGAGCAGATGATGAAAGCTAAAATACTTTTTTTTTTCAGGTGGGGTAGGAGTGGGCTACAAAAGTAAAACTCAGAAAAACTGAATTAGGATCACGTTAATTTTCCAAAAGTGATCTTAGCTCAGTTCTTAAGAGCATAAAGATCAATGCAGGGTTGAGATGTGGAAAGGTAAAGCAAAGCAAATAGGTTGTGATGGTGAGATATCTGGAGCATGTTATACCTCTATTTGTCGGTAGTCACAGATGGCACGAATGGGCGTGTTGGTGCCCAGGTTACTATCTGCACTGCGTGGACGGAGCTGGACTACAGACTTGGCTCGGCCTACAAGGCTGGCCACTGTGCTGCGGTATTCAATCAATTGTTCTTTCTCCTCCTGAAAAATTAAATTTATAAGCAAGTCAATCAAGCAGTTAACAATAATAAAAAGTACAGAGTAATTTGATGTTAGTGGCTATAATTAATTTATTCTGTGATCAAAAGTGTCTGAACAAATATTGTTCAATAAACTTAATTCAATAAATATTTAAACTCATTAGATTGAATATTTCAAATAATTTTTTTAATTCAGCCTCTGCAAGGTCCCCATAATTGGAATTTCTTCCATCATTTGTTTTTCCATGCTGCGTGTCAAATGAACTGAATGTATATGTGCTTTCATGATAATACATATTCATTTTCTCTCATTAAAATAGATTAGAGACTTTCGAAATGGCTTTAAGGAAATGAAAGACCATCATTAATATTCTTCCCTGGGTTATTATTTTCTTAGCTTTCATTTTACTAAAATTAATGAGTATGTGGTTTGACACTTCCATGACAAGCTCATGAGGGTTTCATTAGTTCTGACTTTGGGAAGCAGAGGCCGACAGGAAGAGCTAATAGCATTACGTTCGCTGCAAAAAATTAAGTGATGATAAATTTGACTGCATATCAGCATGGGGTTGGCGTTCATCAAAACCACAGAAGACTTTCAGAGCAACAACGAGGGTGAAATTATGGCAAACATGTCAAAACCTTATTTGCAGGATATCAATTGTTACTTATCAAATCAACTGTGCTGTTTTTTTTTTCTTTCTATCAAATGCTTAAATGAAATCATCCCCAGTGAGAGCTAGAACAAATGGTTTATGTCTAACATAAATATTTTAATTAAATAAACTTATGTCTAATTATAAACAAACTCAAATAAATGGCTTTTGATGATGCTTGTTTAAGTGTAGTTAATTATGAGCTAATGCAACAATTCTAGAACATTTTCTTAATGTCACGTTTTGTTTTTAAAGAAAAAAAAAATCAATCAATCAATCAATCTATCAACAGTTATTTTTTTTTAAATAAAAAAAAGGTGTTGTAAAAACAGGCATTTAAACTGGAAGTAGTAGTAATAATAGTATTAAGTACAGTACATTTATTTTTAAATTTATAATGCAGCTGTGTGAATAATAGTCAGTGTTGGTGGATCACTAGGAACCTCCTAATGGCCAGGGTTATTTTTACTCAATAATTTACATAAAAAAATAAAATAAAAAATAAAATTAAGACGATAATCCATCCCAGCTTCCATCTCATTTTTAATGCATTCATGTACTTATTGAACTCTCCAGACTAGGTCTCTCTTCCATATGGCCAAAGAGGATATGCCCATCGCTCTACCAGCTCTTGTGCAATTCCTCTCTCATAGTGCCATCTGCCACATGTGAGGACTCTCACCACCTCCTGTGCACTCATTGTGCTCAAATATTCACATTCCTCAACTGAGTATAAAGCTTGTTTCACACATCCTCCGTCTGCAGTGTGTATGCAGTCCGTGTGCGTTACGTATGCGGTGCAGAAGCAGCACGGACTCGTTTTGCTTTTATACATGACGCGTTTGCAGCCCGTTACTGATCCACGGCTGTTTAGGCACAAACACAACATTTATTCATTATTTGGATTTCAAATCCAAACCTTGTTACTGAAAAAGCTTTTTCAGCTTTGTGATCCTCTTTTTCATAGACATTCGTTTAAACTCAATAAATATAAACAACGTATTATTCATGCATTTGACTTCTAGGTTTGTATATTAAGTTGCTCAAGCAAGTGGCAACACATTTAAACACAGCATATAGCACATATATAATATCACAAACATTTTAAATTAAAACTCACCACTGACAGAAACAGTCGACTCTTGTGCCTTTTCTTTTGCATTTAAATTTTTATCACAAGCAATCCCGCGGGTCTTAAAGAACTTTGTTGTTTACCACCACAAGTGCATCTATTATGTTGCCTTGTTTATCTAAAAGTGCACTTTTCCTTGTTTTAAATCTAGCCAAAATGCCACGTGTTTACTGTGAAACACAGTAGACTTTAATTATATCAATTTATTGTGAAATTACTACATTTCTGTGTCAATCCATGTCTATTTTTACCGTGAACAATGCGCTGTCACTTTAATTCAGCACGTGCAGCACAGATCGCTGTACTGCTGCAGACGCGCCGCTCCTGGAACGCACTGACGGACCACAACCGCATGCAGTGTGAACGCTCTAATCCCTTAACATGGGTGCGTAAAAAAACCCCGCAACGCATACGCACTGCAGACGGAGTATGTGTGAAACAGGCGTAAAGTGTAAAATCTCCTATGGTCATAGCATATTTATTCAATACATAAAAATAAAATATGTAAAATATGTTTAAATCAAAGTTTTTTTTTTTAAGTAAGAGGGAAGACCCACCATGGAGTCCTGTAGCAGGTCTTCCAATCTGCCTAGTCTGCTGTTTTTATCACAGATGTACTGTCTCTTAATGGTGTCTTGTAACTGACGTAGATAGCTTTCACAGTCCCGTGCATCACTCATAAACTATAAAGCAAAAACATGTCATTAAAACCCCAAGTTAAAAATGTAATTTTGAATGCTATTCTATTGAAAAGCTTGACTCAGTACCTGGAAGTAGGCAGTGTTGTCCTTGAGATGCTGCTCCACACATATGCAGAGCTCTTTGATCCACTGCCACTGCGTCTGTAGGGCAGCACTGTAGGCCTGTGATCAGAGGGGTCAACAGGTCACGACTGAGTTTCAAACCTGATATCAAACTATTTTTACTGAGGTCAGTGAGTGAAGATTGTTCATACTGGTCAACAGCTCACCTCCACTGTTTGTTTGGCTGGGTGGTTATCCTGACACAGGTGGTCAGCTGTCTCCTGGAGAGAGTGCATCACTTCCTGTTTTTCCTCCAGCTCTGACCTCATGTCCTACGAGACAGTAAGGAGAATTTGAGATATTGCTCAAATCCAAAACAATGGAACAAACAACTGCAACTACATTAAAGTCAGCATGAAAGGAAAAATGACCTAATCTAATTTGTAAATGCATTTTATTGATCCTATTGTGAAAGATTAATCCAGTCCATTCCAAAATCCAATGAACAACCAATGCATAGAACCAAGTATCTGCTCTACATTTTTTCTTTTTTTTGATAATCCGTTACACTTGTTTGTATGTCATAACACGGAAAAAAAAGTTCTGTCGCTACTTCGGTTTCATCTCAACCTCAAAGAAACATGAATCATAAGCATACTTTTGAGGGAAAATTATTAATTATTTTAATCTACTTACAGACAAAAATATTATAATAGAAATGTCTATAGAAAAGATATATGAAAAGGTAAAAAACTAAATCAGTAAGGGAACAAATAGTGGCCAGAGGTAGTATGATGACTACTGCATCTTCCTATAGATTTAGTCTTACAGAATATTGCTCTCTTTTGGCAGCCATGTTGGTGTTGCTGTCGCTCCAGTCGAAGGCCAGCTCCTCCTCCTCCCTCTCATTGAGCCAGATCAGCTCCTCAGTGCAGCGGGACACAAAAGCTTGAAGGCTCTCTAGGCAACGCAGTCGCCATGACGAATGTTCCTGCAACAACACAGAACAACATTCATAACATTGGCCATATCACGCGGACAACCGCTCAGTCTGATGCTTTTCCCGTGGTAAGCAAGGACCCTTGGCGAATTGGCCTCACAGATCTTTTGAACAACTGTATGTTTTCCTGAAGAATTGATTTGGTTAAATTAAGGAGACGTGTGTGGGTGTGGATATATTGTCAAGAGCAGGTGCTTTACAGCAGTCTTGTGCATGTCACACTCAAGCATTCAGTATTCTACTTTTGTAAGGACACTCTGTCACACCCTGATGAGATTAGAGAAGAGTAATAACCATAATACAGTGTATAATGAACTCAAATACACTCACATATGCCTGCTTATCATAATGCTAAAGCAGAAAAACTTACCAGCAGCTTGCAATACTGGTTCTCCAGCTTGGATAGAGTCTCAGAGTAACTGCTACTTAAATTAGGAGAGACCCTTGACTGGGGGAGACAGAACATGAGGAAATAAATTACTGCTTATGAAAAAGTGTGCAGTGTTTATTACATTAGCTCTTGCAAACTATTTACACCAGTTCAGAATTGCCAGTTTGGATGTACACACAGCAAGTTTTAAAATGAAACAATGCATCTCCATTGACTCCTTCACACAAAATCCAAAAGCTATCATGGCTTAGAACCACCTACTTAAATTTGAAGAGACAGTCTAACGGACTGTAAAGTGACCAACTCTTTTGTTTTTACATATCATATAGGGCTCTATGCTGACGATTTTTACTTGCATTTGGCACTTGGGCAATTTTGGACCCTGTTTACAACCATTCATGAGCTTCAATAAGGTCACTTGCACCGGTGCACCTAATATTTTTCAGTGTCACACACAATCACAAATATTGTTGCAGTTCAGTCAGAAAATATGATTGAAGCTTGCCATTTTCGCATTCCAGTTTTGCGTGGAATCTGCACAAGACACTTAATGAACAGAATGGTACATGCTACCTGAAGCTGAGACTTCATCTGAATTTTTGTGAAAGGTCCTTTGATACCAAGACCTCATAGTTCATGTACCTCATAGTTTCGAGCCTCTTTGAGGCTATTCAGAAGATCTTCCACTGCCGTGTGAATGATGTGGTGGTCTTGCAGGTGCTGTTCTACAGAGGGCAGATCAGAACCCCATTCAGCTCGCTCCAGCAGGTCCTGCGTCTCTTCCACCCACCCCAGCAGCTCGTAGATGAAGCGCAGACTGCCTTCATCCTCAGAGGAAGACATGGCTAACAGGTCCGCACGAGACATCGGCCGTCTGAGCAGGGATGCCGCAGCTCCCACTGCTCCCAGAAACGTCTGTGCTCCCAGTGTAGTCAGACTGCCTGAAGAACCCCTCTGACCCGCGTGCTCTCCCAGCAGACCCCCTGTGGAGAAATGACCCTTCCTGTACACACTGGCACACTGCAGGCGCAAAGAGACCAGCTCCTCCTGCAGACATGACACCCTACAAAAGAGAAATTACCTCAGGATCATAAATGAAAACATACTGTAAATCCTGAAAAACATGTATTGTGGTTTCTACAAAAAATATCAAGCAGCATAACTGTTTTCAACATAATAATTAGAAATATTTCATAAGCACCAAATCAGAAACCTCTCAAATTAATTTTCAGTAACTGTCAACGAGAATGAAATCATAAGCCATTCTTGCCTCTAATTCCACTCTGTGGCCTGCTTTTCACACACATTTTTCCTTTTTCCTTTTTCTCCCTCTTACCTGAAAGCCAGCTGTTCCACTTGGTAGTACTTCTCATCTCTGAGGACCTGCAGGTCAAGGTGAAGCTGTCTGACTAAAGCCTCACAGTCCTGCAGATACATCCCCAATTCATTCTCACACCGCACCGGCTGCCCACTCTCTAGCTGAGACAAGTCCTTAAGAAAGACAGAAGACAATGAAGCACAGAACATTTCTGAATGATAACTATCCAAGCAACAAACTAAGAGGACCTGTCAATATATGTTCCAGATCCAAGTGAGCTGCTTACTGAGACTGTATTTTAAGGCATGTGGTGTGTTTCTGACATGTCATGGTTTTTCTTATAACATACCTTCTTTGGGGATTATTCTAAGGCAGCATTGCCTGTATCCTTCTTGGTAATATTAATCTATTTCCATTTTATTCAATACTAAAATTTTAAAATAAAAATATTTAAATGTAATTAAAAACTAATTATTCTACCCAATATTAGTGTGCTATCTAGCTTAGCATTTAACATCGAACTCTGTTCGAGTTTCCAAAGTTATTCAAATTGCCTATGTAATTCCTACATAGACAAAAGACAGCAAGGCAACTCACTAGGTTTTGGAACAGAGCTTATAAGACAATTCCCACAGAGAAAGATACTCCTGTACTTACAGCCTGCAAAGTGTTCTTCGCCAACGTGAGTTTCTCCTCACAATCTAGAGCCATGTTCTGGATCTTATTGGCCTTCTGTAGGAGTAACTCCAACCTAAGGACAAAGTTACATACAAATGACACATCATCAAAAAATGCTTTCGAACAGCTACAATTCGAAATGCAGTAATCTCTTCTAGACGTGAACTCACTAACCTCTCCACAGCAGGCCTCAGTGCTTTCTCTCTCTCCAACATCTCCAGGATCAGTTTTCCCCATTCCTCCTCCAGATCATTAGGGTGTAGCCCTTGAGGCAGCTTCATGCGCCCGAACTCTATCCACGCCTAAACAACATCCACAACATCAATCATTTTAACATGAAAAGAAGCTTTTTGAGTTTGTGCATGTGAGGTTCCCTTTATACTGTCAGTCTTCCACCTCTCCCACATGGCAGCGGTGCACTCTACATTAGCCTGAATCTGTTAATGTGCAGCTCCACTGTGCCTCTTGTGAACAGTGTCGCCTGCATTTAGCTGCAGAATCAAGGTCAGCCTCAATCTCTCTCTGTCATTCTTTCTCTTTTATCTTCGTAACCGTCTCTCACCTCCAGAAGCTTGTAAAGGTGCTCAATGTGGCTCTTCTCTCTCTCCTTTGCAGGGACCTCTGTTTCTTTGAAGTGGACATATTCATTGTAAAGTGCCTAGGGAAGACAAGACTTTTGGTAAACAGCCAAGTAAGGTCACATCAAATGGTGATTAGCAATTTAAAGCATCACAGGTTTGTTCCAGTCACATATGCTGCCTTGTAAGACACCTCTTTTTAGCCAAATTCTAAGGCAGTATGTATCCTTCATAGAGAAAGCAATCCTAGAATGTGCAGCAATAAATAACTAAATAAATACATTTCAGCAGTCATTACTCCAGTCTTCAGAGTGACATGATACTTCAGAAATCATTCTAATATGCTGATCTAGCGCTTAAGAAACATTTCTTATTATTAGCAATGTTGAAAACATTTACACTTAATATTATTTAATATTTTTGCAGAAATCATGCTACATATACAGTATTTTCAGAATTCTTTGATGAATAGAAAGAACAGCATTTACTTGAAATATAAATCTTTTGTTACATTATAAATGGCATCTTTGATCTGATTCATGTTTCCTTGCCAAGTAAAAGTATTAATTTCTTGCCGACCCAAACTGAAACCCATCCATTCTTCATGAAATCCAACCCTCTTCTCTCAGCTTCTCCTTCCCTCACATTTCTTACCTTGAGTTCCACAGGATTGTGGGGGAAGCTCTTGTTGGTCATGAGGGCTGTATGTTGTCTGGTCCACTGTAGCAGAGAAGAGAAGCCAGATTGGTACTCTGTCCATCGCTGGTCAACCTCCTGAACAACAGAAAGCACATGAGAGAAAACAAGGAAAAAAATGAAAGACAAATTACATTAAGTACACTAGAGAAAGAAGGTACGGCTTGAAGAGAGTGAGTGCATTGTGAAGTGAACATACATTAGCTGCAATGCCTTCTCCACCCTCTGGGATCTTGGGGAAAGCATCGTAGATGGAGCAGACATACGTGATAACAGATTTCTCGTCTGGCGACGACACATCAACATCTAATGTAGATAGAGGATAAAAAAAAAAATGAGAATGATGATCTAAGATAAATAGAGTTTAGCACATAATAATTCCTGTATGTAGAATGGGTGAAAATTAAGGACCGATAAGACACTAATGTTACCTTCAGCATCTAGAAGTCGTGTTACCCCTAACGACTCTGCAATCTCAAAGGCCTGTTCCAGGTTCTCACGGTTACTCTGTTGTGCAACCACTTCCATGTCAATCAGGTCCGGCCTAAAAATCACAATGCCATGAGATCTTGATTGTTGATGTGCATCTAACCTTTTAAACTGAGCACTCATTATGCTTAAATGTGTTTGTGTGTGAACCTGTATCTGTGCAGAAGAGCATTGAACAAGTGTCCATCGCTCCAGCTGGAGGAGAAATTGGCACAACGGAGACCACGATAGCCCTCTGTGGCCTGCTGACTCCATAGTAGCAGCTTCTCTTTCGCAGTAAGGTCACCTGACTCACCGCTCACATAGATCTCAGAAATCTAGTAAATAAAAAGAGCTTATATTGTACCTGAACTTCATCAAATGGCTTGTGTGTAAAGGGAAACTGACCTCATACTTCCACTAAAAAGGTAGAGCATCGCTACTTTGTACAAGTATATTTTTAGGGGTAGCCACTGTATTTAAGGCCCAAGTTACCCACAGCTAGGCCATGAACCTTTCACTTATCTCTTTCCTCTACATTCACTCCCTCTTCCTCTTGACAAAGGGATTCAGTATCCGCAGTATCTGTCTGTGCCAGGCTCTAATCTGTATTCCTTCGTCATTCCTCTCATATGCTGCTCTTCACATCCCTGCCTGTTTCTTTTCTTGCCTTGCTAGCAAAGAACACTTTAAATTCTGGCATGAATGCAGACAGTTCTGAGAGTATAAACAGACATAAGAGTAAATCAATCTTCACAAAGTCAATGCAGGCCAAGATTAGCTTGAGCAAATTTGGTGACATACAGAAACAGAGCAGTAACTGTCCTAGCCTGAGCCTCTTACTCTAAAGATGATTAGAAGGTGTGGCCAGACAGATTTCTAACGCTTGTCCAATCAACCAGGCTCTGAGCCATAAAAATGCACCCAAACACTGCCTTTTCTTTTGGTATCACCATCTAACATGTTTTCCAGACAAGAACGCTTGAGTCAAATCAGTCTCAAGATGAATCGTCCATGACAGCAGAGATAAATCTGGGTGACGACACGCTGTGTCATAAAAAAAAGCAGACAGGTCATACTGACATGCTGGTATTTCCATTAGAGTGCAGATGACTTCAGTATGTGACCTTATAATAGAGTAAGGACAGTCGTGCTTTGTGATGAGCTGCAACCCTCAAATAGTCTAATTACATCACAGTTAGCATTGAGCATGTTACCGGCTAATAAACACACGCCAATGTGCACTCTAACAATTTAAAGTAGTGTGGGCATAAGGGATAGTGAAGGAAGTGCTACAATCAGCAACGTAAAACGGCATTTGATGATGAAACAATGGTAAGTGATATACAGTATGAAAAATCAAACAAAACAAAAAATATAAAACAACACGGAATAGCACAACATATGTAATATACCATTGCAAAAAGACAAAAAATAAAATGCAAAACCAAACAATAACAATTCTAAATCAACAAATCTACCAGATCAACACATAATAAAAAATATATACAAAGTTCTGTCATGAAACTCTAGATAGCGCAGGCTGATAGGCTCTAACTCAATCTGATATAATCACATCATTATTCACATGGTGCAGCTGGTTGGATTCTTTTCACATTAGCAGCCAATGAACCTGCTGCTCAACATTCAAATTCTTGGCTAGTGCTTGCTGTAGCAGTTGCAGTACACTTCAGAAACCCTCCACCTTCCCCAACTCCACCTGTGTAGATCTTCTACAGGGTAATTTCATGTATGTTAGATATGGGGGTTATTTCATATATGTTATATGTGCTGCAGCAGTATTTCCTACATGCTCACAGCAGCATGTCTGTGGATGTACTGGCAGTTGCAAATCTCGGTACTTGCTACTTGCAAGACCAAACACATTAACATTTATATTTAACATTTCACTTACCGCCCAATGTTGTCCAACAAAACAATACATATTAAAGGCTATGAAAACAAATAAAGTGAATGTAACCATGTAAGCCTTTATATTATGTGTAAAAAAGAGCTAAAATCACATTTCATTCTAACATTGTAACATTGCAATCTAAAAACAAAAATAGGGCTTTTAAATCAGAGGTTAAATTCACTAAATAAATGAGAAGCAGCAGAGTTGTGTTAGGCTATTTTGATTACCCCATTACAGTCACTTTACAGTCAGTGCTATCATAAAAATAGACTTACTTGTAGGTTTAAAATTCTACATGTCACATTTATTGTCCTACTACAAATATTTCAGCGAAATGTATATTTTAGTCAGAATTATTGCGCTGATATTTAATTGGGCTACGTCTATTTGGCACGAATGCGCGTGGCGGCGCTCGTTCACTGAAGTCAGTGAAGTTTAGCGGAGAATCCCAAAGCAGAAAGGTCATGCACTTCTGACAGAAAAATTTTAATATTTCCATGGCTTTCTAACATTTACATATGGAAAATATACCTGTGAAATATAAGTTATGCATTCAAGAAGACAGCATATCTCAAACACATTAAACAGCGCGAGTAGCCTACTGTCAGCGGCACACGCAGCCTTTCTGTCACAGCATATGACGGGCCTAGCCGCTTAAACTAATATGCGAAACCAAACTATAAACTGTCTTACCAGTTTTTAAAGGCCTTAATATGAAGCTTGTCACATGTTTAGAACAAATTGGATTGTGCACTTTCTCCGCAGCAGCTCAGTCTGTGTCCTCTGCTATATTTTCAGATGCGCTCGTATCAAACTACAGTATATCGATATAAATGGTATTGCCTCATATTGAATCGCTTATAAAGAAAAAATTTATATATCATACAAACTCGATATACCGCCCAGCCCTAACTGCAGCCATCACATACTGTACTGAACTCGATAGAAGACAGTTTGCTCTATGGCAAGAGATCATTGAGACTGCATTTAAACACTCAACAATTGACTGTATGATGTGCATTTCTGGGTGTGTGCATGCGGACTTTGTTTTCCACATTTGTGCTGCATTTCTGATACAATGGCAGGAATATAGCTAGGTGGACATCACTGAAACGGCATGCACAGTTCATGGTTTGAATATACTTAAGATTGAGCATTTAATAAACCAAGTGCAGCTAGCACACTGCTGGAATGTCTGTAACGAGGCCATGAAATCCCTCTCCACCAGCCATAACTCTTAAGTGTGCAGGTGGAGCACTTGGCAAGGGAGGGCAGGCAACATATACAAATATGCAACAATCACATTGGTGCAGAGAGGAAAAAGATAAACAGCTGACAAAATGTCTGTGAACATAACTTGTGATCATGTTTTTGGCAATGCCAGGCAGTTTTACTCAAATACAGAACCTAGAGCATCAGGAATGATAAGAAAGAGAGTGGGTGGGAAGGGAATAATGAGGAATGGAGGGAAGGGAAGAAGGCAGACAGTGAGAGATGATCTGGGCAGTACTGATTAGGCTCCTGGGAGAGTTTCAGGAAGGGTTTGGTATTTTCTATGCACAGCTGATTGGCTGAGAGAAAAAAGTCACACGAGAGATAGTAGTGTAGAAATAGAACTGCAAAACACCCAAACACCTATACCCCCAATTCACACCCAAGCCTTGTCAAAGTTGTCAGCTTTAATCGCTACCCTTTTATTCTACAAAAGCCATATAAAAGAGCTTTAGGAAGACAACGAGAAAATAATCTGACCTGAGTGGAGGGCTGAGCCGGTATCTCTTGGGGGGAGATGGGACTCTCAAGCACGGAAGAATCAAGCACATCAGAGGAACTCCCCCAATCAGTCTGAACAGCACCTCCCGTCTCGGGCGAGGTGAGAGGCACATCGCTAGCATAACCTGAAGACTGAAGGTCTTGTGGTGGGGGGCCAAAACCTTCAGCTACTTGAGCAGAGTTGTCAAATAGGAACTCTTCCCCTTTTTTTCCCCGAGCTGCAGCTGTTGCTGGTTTGGCAGAGTCGTTCTTTCCGGGTGGTCGCACTTGAGTTGTGGACACTTGTATTTTCGTTATGCCTCCAGTAACAGGAGATGCAGCTGGAGGTCCAGAATGGACCTCAAGTTCTTTGTCACGCCAGACGGGCGACCCATAGTCCCTTGGATAGACAGTTCGGACCACACAAAGTTGCCCTTCAAACTCACGAATGTGAACAACTCCCTTCTTCTCGGTTTCTGAGGGCTCACTGAACATCAGTTCACTCAGCCCATGCACATCCCCTCCTTCCTTCTCTACTTCAAGGTCACCACGTTTGGAGCGTAAAATACAGGGTCTCTCTAACACCCCCTGAACTCGCTCTCGAACCTTACAGACTCTTCCTCCTCCAGGTGTTGTGTTGCCTTGCTCTAATTCAGCATGAGATACTTTGCAGAGTCCCTCTACCTCAAACTGGTGAAGTGCCCCCAGCCAGGCTGGACTGGGATCTGGGGAAAGAATAGCCATCTTGCTGCCACGCAATGTCCCTGTGCTTCCAAATATTGGGGCCATACCAGGAACAAGGACAACATTGGTGGGTGTATCGGTTTCAGTAGTTATTTGTCCAGATACCAATTTGGTTGAATCAGGGGCTCTTGTCGCAGACTCCTCCGTAACTTCAATGCTTCCACTGTCCTTCTCTTCAAGGATGTGGCTTCTCTTGTCCTCCCCTTCGGCACCTTTTAACTTCTGTTTGACCTTTCGTTTTCGTCTAAAGCGAAGTTTTCTTTTGGTTGATAGTGGTGCAGCACCACCTGGTCCAGCATCCCTGGGTTGTTTCACACAACCAAGGGAGCTCCCCATATCTCATAGAGACAGAGTAAAAATAAATATGAGCCAAAAGGAAAAAATGTCCACAATGGGAGTGAAACAGTCAGCCTGAGTCAGCTGGTAAGGTAAGTTAAAAAGTTAATGACTCATCTGGAGTGAAAATCATGACAAAAAGTATTAACTATGACAAGAGGGATTGGTACAAGGTTAGGTTCTACCAGGACATCATGTCTCAACTATAATCTGTACAGCAGTCATACCTCCTGTTGCTTGGTCTTCTCGTTCTGATGTTGTTCAGGCAATGTTGCAGTTAACCTAAACCAAATATCACTTAAGGTCCTAGTAAGCCTCTAGGACATGATGCTGAATATAGGTTACTGCCCTTTATAAAATATTAAAATCCTACGGCAAGGCTTTTGATGTTTTTTCACTCTCTCATGATGCAGAGATGGTGCAGCACTGACTGAAGAAAAACTGATGCCTTTTAGCCCATTTCACAAGTTGTGTGTTAAATAGCAAGTAATTTGTCATGGTACTCGATGACACACTATTATAGAAGACACTATAGATATTCCTCAAGGTGAGAACCGCGATAAAACTGCACTGCAGACATACAAAGCAATACTCCTGTGAGCACACATGCACATGCTCAATATCTCTGCATCAGGATGTATAATTAGGATGCACTAATCATCAGCTTGCACACAAATAAAACTGGAGAAAACCATGTCTAAACATGTATTCATGTGTGTACAGTAAGATGCCTAGAAACACCTGCTTCTCTGAATATCTTAAGTACACATTATTGATCACTGCAGTCCGTCGTGCTTACATCACATAGGGTAGGTCATGCTTTGGGTAGCAGTTGTAGGAATCCTGTGGGACACTTACAGTAAAGCTGTGTAACGGGTACCAGATCAGCTGCTAATGGATTAAAGTGCACAGTCAGGCATCTCATCTACAAATTAGTCACAACCCATCAGAACATCTTTTGTTCCCTTCATCAGCCAAGCATAACCAGCCCATGTCAGGTGATGTTTGGTCTTCACACCTGTAGCTATGAGTGTTTCACGTCCCAGGCATGCAAACTTCATTAAAACAAGTTTCCAGTCATGAAGAGAAAGAAGGGGAGGGGCAAGGTACTAAGCATCTCGCCACTGCTGCCACGGAAACTGGCATCCCATGCACTGACACCAGCACATTCAAGTCAATAAAGAGGACACTGACTACCATGAGTGAAGACCTCACCTCCAGCCAGCAAATTTCAACAACCACTTTCCCCCTGCTGACATGACATGGTTATAGATGTGGTTTAGCACATAGTCCACTCCCATATATCAAGTAGACACAATTTCAAACCATCCTGTCTTCCTTGTTCTGCCACTAAGCAGTGTACATCCCTAGCTTGGGGTGAGCCGATGAGAGAAACCGAGTGATAGCTCACAAAGTGCCGCTCCCTGATACTGTCGGCTTCTCTGGCTGTGGAATCTAATTAGAACGTCGCCAGGATAGGGCTGGGCTGGGCAGTTGAACCACGGCTGGAAGAGGAAAAGAGGGAAATCCAGAGGAATCCTCCCCCAACCAGGAGCTGCACTGTTGGCCTCGGAGAAGAGTGGTTGCCTCAGTGTTGAAAAAAGCGTAGCTCCATCAGTCAAGCATGGCGAAATTGATCCGATTGAAACGGTGTTCTCCTTTGCACAACCTGGGTGCAAATTAAAACGTGTGACTTACATGTGTGCGTCTGCAGGGTTCAGCGATCCCGATTCTGAGATTGAAAGCATACGTGTCGCTGTATATGTGATGTGCTTCAAGAGGCCTGCAGGGGAGAGAGGAAGCCAGGGGCTCCAGTAATAGCAAGCTACATGTGTCCTCTTCTCAGTTGCTGGGTAGCTCCTCTGCTCTAACTGGTAGGCACCAGCGGAAAAAAGAGCTTCATCTACAGTCTGCTGCAGCTTCACTGAATACGCTGCTGCTGCTTTAGTTTCCTCCTCCTCCCTCTCTCCCTCCTCCTCGCTCTTTCTCTCCTCCTATCCACGTGCTCATCCCTCCCTCCCTCCCTGCTCTGATGCCTGGTGAGCTCAGAGCTCAACACACATGCACATATGCACACCAATCAAAGAGCCTTCAATTGGTTGGCAGCCCGAGACTGCAAGAAAAGAATGAACCTGAAATAATTGTTGCCCCTTAACATACATGTTATTTCACAGCTGACATTTTTGCCTCTCCTCTCCTACATATATATTTCATTCACATTAGTTAAACTCTAAAGAAATTTTGCAGGCTGTTGGTCAATACTGCACATTCACATGACCATTTGAACCCAATGCTTAATCTGTGCGGGGAAATCTATCACACGAAATTCCCGATTGCATGGATCCCTACTGAAATTACTGGATTTTGTCAGCGGAAATTCGGCAAATAGCAGTAAATGTGACCATACTTTGTAGACATGAAGGTGAAGATATCCCTTTTCTATAGACACTGCTACACAAAATACAGCACTGTGATGGTATTTAGTCATGTGATCAGAAGCAGCATACACGAGCAGGATTGCAAAGGAAGGTGATGAATTAACAGGCAATAAATCAATCAGAAATAACTGTGACACCATTATAATCAGCCAGCTGAGCCCACTTCTTTTTTTTTTCTTTTTTTTATCAGCCTAATTGTCATGCATCCAGAGTCTCCTGTACTGTAACTGAGACGGGGTAAATTTCTGTTTACTGACAGAGACCGGCACACATTTATCAGCTTTATATCCTGCAGATAGACAGCATAAGATTTCAGCACACTACAATCTTTGCCAAACGACCCAGCTGGCCAGACAACCACACCTTTTATGTGACTAACATATTAGCCAATCAGATCAGTTCTTTTTGTGACAGAGACAGCTGGGCCAAATTCAGCCTAGGCTAATACACTGAAGCCTGATTGGTATTTTCCCACAGCATCCTAAACTTAGACAAAAATATGAGGATATACAAAACACAATTTCGAAAGGCTGCTGTTGGCCTAAATAACAGCGGAGGTTTCAAAACAGAGGGAAGTGTCCCAGATTGAGTGTGGGGGAGGTTGGATAGCTAGTCTCTCTTGGCTGTCTGAAGTGAATGTACAGTATGCATCAAAATGGCGCTTATAGGAGTGGTTTCAATTGCTTCTATTGACAAACAGCAACTCCTAATGGCTCCTAATGTGCCTCTGCTGAAATGATTCAATTGGATGTTTCTTTAAATGAGTCATGCTATGTTATATTGTGCTTTAGTAATTTTGGCTGCAAGACATTACAGATCATGCCATGTTACCGTACACCTTTGGAAGTGGACCAACTTGAACTTAGTTTACAATGACAAGAGTAAACTTGTTCATCACAAAAATAACATTATGCGTTTCTATTGTGGTCTACCATCCGGCCTTTTATTCCTCCCTCCAATATATTTTTGGTTGACAGAAAATAACAAAGCTAATGTTGAAATGTTTAACCAAATCAAATTCTCCATACTGTCTTAGTGTCAGTGGCATGCTCTGCTTTGTGGACTGTTGTCTCATTTCCATTGTTTCATAATTAAGCAATGTTAAGTATCGCAATTAAGTATGCAAGTCCCATTCCTTGTTTTTTTTTTTATTGCCTCTGTTCATCCCTGTGCACAATTATTAAAATGTTTTAGTTTTGTCCCAGAGACAAACAAGTAGTTTACAAGTACTTATTTGTGTGCCAGTGGCCTGCTCTGTTCTGATCCAATTACATGCAATTTGTCTAGATAATTGATAGTTTGTTTCAAATCTCTGCTCTTTAGTTATTGTTAGAATATATTGGACGTAAAAATATCAGATTCAAGCACTGTGGAGGAAAAAAAACACATAAGTGGTTGCATTTCTAAATCTAAAATCTGTCTAAATCTATCTCTAAATATATATATTTTTTTTTAATTTGCCATTTCATGAGGCCTATGCTTCCTCCACTCTTTTCTGCTGAATCATGCTGATTGAAGAATGCTTTGGGGTCATACTAAACACAATCACCTTGGCAACCAGCTGCATATGTCACCTTGTGATGTCACCGCTCTGCTGATAATAACAGTGTCCTCTGCTGGACGATCCTGGGAAGTGCAGCTAGTATGCAGTGCATGATAACTATATATTTTAAATAACATTTAATAGAAACATTTTAAATGATCAGCAGAGAGTACATTATCATAACAGTTTTATTATTTTTGGTAAGAGCTTGTCTTTATTAAATTAGCATTGTGGCCTTTTCTCATAGCTGATGGGTGACTAATGTTATGTTCAGAATGAAATGGGCTACAACTTCACAACTGTAAACTGCACATAGCATGCAATTTTTCGTATGCATGATATACTATGTTTGCTAAAACATGAAGACTACAATCAGAGAATATAGTACTGCATACAATGCATTTCACAAGAATGAATGAAAACAGTAACTAACTACAGTGATTTGAATATATCTTTCTTGAGTCATTATTTGATCAGACTGCCCCAAATGTTAAGCTTTCTACACAAATTTGCTGGTAACTGGTCATTTGATTATTTTAGTACATTATTAATATGGTTTGCACAATCTGCACTAGTATTCCATTGTAGAGCAAGGGCGAAAATATCTTTTTATTGCTTCGGATTAACTAACGCGCATCTTATTTAAATTGCCTTTATAAATGGGACATTTCAATTCTACCATCCAGCAGCGCAGTATCCATCCAACAGACCTTACTTCTCTAGTTTGACCCATCAGTATACTGTAGAAAACTGAAGGCCATTTCACAAATGTGCTCTACAGGTGCAATTTCTGAAGATTATTGTTTCTTTATCAGCATGCAGGCTGGCAGTGCCTGTCTAGAATTGTCTGCAATCTCTGTCCATTCGGCAAAACAGGCAGATTAGCCGGGCCTTCTATATTGAAGCTCCATACAGCATAAACCGTTCCCTAAGCATATTCAAAGTCTGAGCTTAGGATTGTACTGTGTGGATTGTATCCATCACATTCTCCTCATGAACCATTCCCTCTTGAGTTCTCTTATTCTTGCCATGGGCAAATCCCTGTTGCTCAAACTGGCAGCTGCGGACATGAGAGGCTGGTAAACAGCTGCTATCAGCATTAAGCAGAGTCAGCTCTAACTCTGGCATGCTGTGTTGAACCCTACAGATTCAAGTAGGACACAGCTGTGACTAAGGTGAACTTACCTGGAAGTGAAGGATGATGGTCCAGATCAGTCCCAGTGTCAGCTTTGGGTTCCCATCTGTGATGTCATCATTGCGTATATTCACTAATTTGACCTGCATTAAAGCAACAGAAGACTCTCATTAGTGGGAAATATCTGAATGAGTTAAAGGGGTCATATGATGCGATTTCAAGTTTTCCTTTCTCTTTGAAGTGTTACAAGCTCTTGGTGCATAAAGAAGATCTGTAAAGTTGCAAAGACTAAAGTCTCAAATCCAAATAGATATTCTTTATAAAAGTTAAGAGTCAGCCACGCCTACCAAAAATGCCTTGTTCTAACACGCCCCCACATATCTACCTCACTATGTGGAAATATTAGCATAATGCCGCCTAAATGTGCACGAAAAAGAAAGCAGGCGTGGTTTCAGGAACAGCAGTAGTGTTAATAAAGTCATGTCAGGGAGACGCTGTGTGTTTCAGTGCGAAAGCAAAAGCACTTTATTTGGCCTTTCCGGAAGTAGATGCAATTAGGAATCATTGGTTAAGATTTATTTACAACAGAACAGCACAACCCAGATGTTCGAATTTGTGCAACGCATTTTATGGACGACAGTTTTTTGAACCTAGAAGAGTACAAGGCTGGCTGTTCACAAAAGCTATTTCAAAAAAAAAAAAAAAAAGGGGTCAATTCCGACTTTGCTATGACAATCTGGCACTTCTGAAACAGCGACTGTAAGTATGTTTTGTTATTAGTTTAAGTATTTGCTATTGACTGTTCAAATGCGGAGTTTTGCGCAGCGCAGAGTAACACGTGTGTGTGTGTGTGTGTGTGTGAGGGGAACAGGGTCACATCACAGGAGAGTGAACTGTCTGTCAGAAATCATAGCACGTCAGTTGTCTTAACCGCGGCTTGTGTGCAGCATCATCACTGTGTCTGTCACGCGACTCTGTTGCCCTTTCGGGCTTGAACTGATGGTAAAACTAACAACATTATTAACTGTCTTGATATTTACTTTGAAAGCTGATGCTCGCGATTATGGTAAGGGGAGTTACATTTCCGACACGTGCTTGTGATGTTCAGCCAATCACAATGCACTGGGTCAACTGGCCAATCAGAGCAGACTGCGCTTGTCGGAAGGAGGGACTTTGTAGAAAACTAAGCATTTGAGAGAGGCGGGGCATAGAGGACCTACAATAATGTACAGTATTTGAAAAATAATTTGTTTTTTGAACATTAAAGCATGCCAACATATTCTGTTACACAAAATACACAAAATAATGATCTTTAAAATAGCATCATATGACCCCTTTAAAGGTATAATTTGGTGTAAACAGTCTGATTAACCCCAAAAACACTATAGGCGCAAAACTTTGGCGATATTTTATAAATGTCGATAAAAAAGTATTGAGAAATAACGGCGTTTCCATTAACCAATGTTATGCGACTAAAACGTAACCTTTTGCCTCTCGCGATAAGTCATGGCAACGGATTTTGGTGGGACTTTGACGGATTTTGGCTATATTTATTCAAAGTAGGCTTATGCATGTATCTTTACAGAAGCCGCAAAGAGAGCCGCTTCAGAAACATACATGGCGCGGCTGGAATAAACCATAGACTGTATAAAAACAAACACAAGCATCGAGTGGCCGCAATCAGCTTCAGTGACGGTATCAGAGCCACACTGCACCGCAGATGTATGCAGTGTAAATTGTCTAAGCATTAATGGTGTCTAAAGCCTTATACTGGAGAGAGGCCACGTATGAAGTGTTTCTTGGAGGTTATAGTACATTGAAGAATGACCATATTACTTTTTACATACGCCATGTGACCTGTAAATTCCTTTTTCGCTTTGCCGGAAAAACCACCTAATGCAAGTGTAAAGTTTTTTGTGATATATGGGAGTTTTTGCGAAATTGACGCATTTCCATTAGGCGTATTTTCAATTCGCAATTTCAATTTGCGCAATTTGAAGGGTAATGGAAACTCGCCTTGTAACATTACTTGAATCTGCTAAAAATGCCTAGGGCCTAACCAAATGAAAACTGCCAATGTAATGTAATTTCAGGACAGCTTTGTCGTTTGTTGTCCTCTTACGCTTACAGCTGTCAGAAGCTATGTACTGTGTACTGGGAGAAGGGTGCAGGTTGCCATTTTGTCTGGTTTAGGGACCTTGGGCTGGGGTGACAACAGAGAGGGGATTGGACAGACTTCTATGGGGCAGAACACATCTATCAACTCCAGGTCATGTTATCTCAGAGCCATGCTGCCAACTGAAGCACAATGAGACTAAGGACACAGAAGTCCCAAGTTATCATCTTGTATTCCCTTCCCCTAAATGTGCATGACATTAGTCCATTAGTGAGGGTAACTAGCCTCAACACTAAAGGGGACACGTCCTCCCCAGTATTCAGAATAATATTTTAGCCCCAGAATCTTATTTTAGCCTACCCATCTTGAATATTTGGTTACGTCCTTGCATTTATAAATAAAAAGCTGACAATCTGTAAAAAGTGACTTGTGATTGTTTCTGAGAGTGAGAATGCGTAAGTGTAGACATTCATACCTGTCTCTGCTTAAGGAAGTCTAAGGCGATCTGCACATTCTGGAGTCGGTGAAATCGCATGCGACCCTTTTCCCTGGGCTATTGAAGACAGGAAGAGAGTGAGAGAGAAACAGAGAGAATGCAGATGAGTGCACTGATAATCAGGGCAAATTGGAGGTCTGTGTGAAAACAGGACTGTTTCATTAGCACAAGCCTGAAAGCAGCAAAAGCAGCACACTGCAAAATAACACAAGACCCTCTCAGGATCATCAGTAATTAATAATCCTGTCTCAGAGTCACAGGGAATTGTTAGCATACTGTGAAAATGTCACCATTAGCAAACCATTCAAACAGCAAATCTAAATAATTATTGTATTTTTTACTAATCTCACACACTCTGCCTTGCCTGCTAACATCTGTCCGCTAGTGGGTGACCAATAGCAATATCTAGCATGCAGGGCAGTAGATGGCCGATATAATACCAATATACACTACCATCCAAAAGTCTAGAGTTGGTAAGATTTGTAATGTTTTTGAAACTGAACAAAGTATTTTATGCTCAGTTAAGTTGCATTTGTTAACAAATAAACACAGTTAAAACAGTTAAAATAACCGTTTTTTAAATATATTTTAAAATGCATTCTATTTCTGTGATGCAAAGCTGAATCTTCAGCAGCCATTACTCCAGCCTTCAGTGTCACACGATCTTTCAGAAATCATTGTAAGATTCTGATTTGGTGCTTCTTATTATTATCAATGTTGAAAACATTTGTGCTGCTTCATATTTGTGTGGAATAGATAGTTCAAAAGAACAGAATTTATTTGAAATAGAAATTTTCTGTAAATGTATTTAGTGTTACTTTTATTCAATTTAATTTGTTGTTGCTGAATAAAATAATTGATTAAAAAATCTTACTGACCACAAACTTTTGAACTGTAAGCTGTATATTACAATATTATAATAAGATGTACCAAAATTTCCTCAGGTTTGAAAACAGAAAATATCTATTGACAAGGCTGAAAGGTCAAATCTATTGATAAGGCCGAATGGCTAATTTTATTTATCAGCCAGGCATGGCCAATAATCTAAATAGCCAAATATCATCCAATTGACTGGCCTGTCCAATTTATCGGTCTATCACTACTCTCTACTGAGGTCACGTGGCACACTCACACACCCTTACATGCAAAGCATGCTCACTATCACCCACAAATGCAGCAGCGTGTACAGCAAACCTGCAAACAGGTGAACAGAAAACCCCCACAATAGGGCAAACGTGTCAAAGTCATCAGATTCAATGTGAGCATGTGACATGAGCGTTGGCAGTACTGAAGTGAAGTGTATATAAAATGTGTACACAAGGCGAGGTCTCTCACACACCTAAATGTAATAAATCTAATTATATCTGGCATCATGAATTATGCATTGGCGTATTAGACATTGCCCTCTGCATATTCACAAAATTGACCTGTCCTTGGACTCCACGCCATGCAGTGTACACAGCTGACTGTGTGTGACTGTGTTTGTTTCAATAGGGGGAGCGGTCACACATACTCCCTGAGCTCCATCCTCCTCATCCTCCCCACCCAGCAGGATGAGTGGGGGTGCGCGTGACACAGACGTTCTCCGCAGAGTTGACGTGCCCTTGTGCTGATGACATCATCATAGAGAGGGTCACAGGAAAAGGATGAAGACAAAAACAGCGTTGAAGGGCTGATATATGTACAAAACAACATTAAAAAAATGAAAACAAGATAGAGGGAGAGAGTGAAGCTAAACAAAAACAACAAATAAAAAGTGCAAAATCCAAAATATATATATATACATAAAAAAGATGAGGTGAAAGAAAGGAACGGAGATGGAGAGATAGAGCAATTGTAGAGGGCAGGTGGTGTGTCAGCAGTCTGTCTTTGTTAATCCACCCGTCAGTCAGTCTGCCCCAGTGCATCATGGTCCCCAGCCATCAGAGTGGGCAAGATTGAGTGCAGTAATAATGTACTAATGCAGATGTCATTACAACACATTGCAGTACATATCAAACTCAGCTATTTCTCTGCTGCAAGGCCTGTATCTGCTTTCGGCAACATCAGCCACAAGCCAGGACATTTAATGACATCAGCCTAACCCCCAGGTCAACTCATGTGACATGATCCCCAGGCACCATGTGGCTCTGAATTGCATTATGGAAAATAAAGCAAATCTCTGCCCCATGAATTGTCCAGGAGAATTGCGTAAAGCATTGGAATAAAATTTGTGTACAACCTTATGCATAACCTGTGTGTGTTAAGGTAATGGTAGTTAATTTCTCACCAATGTGACGCCAGACAGCACCTCAAGCAGGGAAATGAGGTTATGCCCATCTCTTAGATCCTCATACAGGTCTGTGATGTGCTTCCGCACCTGGAGAGAAAGCGAGAGAAATACAGTTAGAGTGCGATAGTTGAATTCCTTACAGTCTTTAGAGGCCTATGTGTAAGCGTTTGTATTATATGCAATGGTGTAACGTTTTCAATAGGGTTTGTGCTAGAATTACCATGTTTAGTAACAGGCTGACTTTATACATCAAACTGTATTTAAAGGACAATTAGCAAACTATTTTGTTTTGGTTGGTTGCGACCCATTAACAAAAGCTGTTTGGATAAAATAGTAAATTAGTTTCGTAGAGAGACAACTGCAGTACACTAACTCTAACCAGCAGAGGACACCAAACTCATTGAGATGGGCCAGTAAAATAGCAACAAGAAAAGTTCTGTACTAAAGTGTGTGCGTTTGTGAATTCAGAGATCCTAAACTGTACACAGAAGATCCAACACAGCTGCCTCCCCATAGTGCCACAGAAGAACCATCTGCTGAGTATAAAAGAACATCCTGACAAGTGTGAGTCTCACTATCCTCTCCATTCCCTCCCTTTATTTCACTCAATTCAGAAAAAAAAACACTATATAGGATATACTGCTCAAATGTATGGGGCTAGTACTACTTTTATTTTTTAAAGAAATTAGTAATTTTATTCAGCAAGAATGCATTAAATCGATCAAAAGTGACAGTAAAGACATTTAAAATGTTACAAAAATATTTATATTTCAAATAAATGCATAAATTAAATCAATTACATTTTTAAATATATTATATATATTATTATTATTAACATTACATTTTTCCATTACTAATTATATTAATTTGAGTGAAAAGCTAAACTAAAACAATTAATGAGAATTTGAAGCTAGCAGTGTTTGTGTAAAAACTGAATCATGTCTTCCAGCATGATTTAAGAAGATTCAAAGAGCATCTTGTACTTCAGTGCAAACAAGAACATCTGGCAGTCTGTATCAGTCAGTATATCAGTCTGTATCTGATCACATGATCAATGTCACTGATATTGTTATGCTCATATTTGTGTTCCCACACTCCCTGAACACAACGTAATAATTTATTTCCACCTGTCTCTCTCATGTCATTTCAGTGTTTATCACAGGTGCATTACCAGGGGGTGCCCTGTTGCCATTGACAGAGAGAATAACAAACTATACTTGGGCACTGGAGTAATACCCTAGTGGTGGAGTATTACATAATAATAAAATGTGTCACACTCAAATGCTTCCTCCCTCTGTAGTCAGCAGTCATTCCTGTAGACAGGTAAATTGTGCAACCCCTCTTAAACCGGTTTAACATTTTTGCAGTGCTTATGTTAGGAGTGTGTAAAGGACAAACGAACAGACGTGACACAATCTACACACACTGCTTTCAGTCAGTGTAACATTGCCTGAGGGGAACAACATACCTGTTCACCTGCCAGAAATGGAGAGATGTGTAAACACAACGCTAACAGGTATCATCACCTACTGTCGTCTGCCATTAGAGTCTGTCGTCTCTAATACAATATAAAGAGGTCCCAAAGGGGTCACAGAGGTCTAGTATATATAACTCACTACTTGTATAGTCTAACATTAGAGCAGCACTGTGCAAACCTATCTCATTTCCTGTGATCTGGCCTACATTACAGCATACTGGCAGAGTTATGAGGCCACTATCTCTAACCTAATAAATCTGGCCCTTCTGCAGTTGGTCATCTGCCCTGCCCTTGAAATACCCAACATTCTTTGCTCTCATGATCTGTAGTCAGTGGGGAGTTATAGAGGATTACCAGACTCACAAATATAGTTCTGCAGCATGACAACATGCTGAACGTCTTTTCAGAGTCATATGGATAAAACGCTGGGGAGACACCTTTGTCATTGTGTTATTATTAAATGAATAACAGTGCCTGTACAATCGTTGACTTGCAGGACCTGCTGCAAGTGTCCTAATATTAAAGAGATCAGTCCCTGAGTCTTATGTGTGAGTGTGAATGTGTGAGCGTGCCGTGTGTTCAGCAGGACTGAAGCCCAGCGGCCATCAGGCCTCATCATTGTGCAGCGCAGCCGGCGAAAATAACCCGGCGTGCTGGACTGTACCTTTATGAGATGTTTGTTGACCCATTTTGTGAAAGTTTTCTTCTGCACCCGGTCTCGTTCATCTGTGAAAAAAGAGATAGAAGAGGAAACAGCAGAAAAAGAGAGAGAGGAAGAGGCGAGAAGGGGGGAGGAAGAGAGATTGGGTTAATTATGTAACACATGAGAGGACTAAGCATCATGCTGTGTATTATTTACAAGCTTCCCTCCAGTCTTGCTTAAAATAGCCTGAATTCAAACACAGACCATAAAATGCTAAATCATGTATTTTAATGAACAATACAGTTATATAAATAATACATTTTACCTGTGGTCACATGATTGAATAGAAAGCCATATTGTAAATACACTACAATTCAAATGTTTGGGTCCGTAAGATTTATTTTATTTTATTATTTTATTGTGTTTATTGAATTATATTTTTTATTTATTTTTTAAAGAGATATAAATTGATAAAAAAGTGATAGTATTTCAAATAAATGCTCCTTTTTTAAAATAAACTTTCTATTTAAAGGATCTTGGAATATGTATTATGGTTTCCACAAAAATATTAAGCAGCACAACTGTTTTCAACATTGTGTAGCATCTGGACCAATCAAACACACAATTTTTCATTTGATTTAACAAATCAGTTATTCATTAGATTAACAAATCGTCACAGTCCCCTCACCCAATAAACTGGATGCCAGGATGTCTGCAACGACACCAGGCCCCCCTGGTTATCATGGCAACCCTGACACCAGATACATTTTACGACCTAATGGAATGTGAGCAGGGAAAATCACTGCATGTTCCATAGCAAGAGGCAAATGCACAGTAGAAATTGACTTTTCTACTAATCAATTCATAGGAAGACCTTTCTTTGAATGAACACACATATCCTTCAGGTCATGGTGTATGTTGTCTTTGAGATTTTATACTGTTTTATGCAGGCTTATGATGGAAACACTCATGTTCACGAATAAAACAAAGGTAGGTGAACAAAAAGTTTTGGCCATTTGCAATCCATATTAAGCACCCGCGGCAATATTTAAATCATTGAACAGTGCGACAAAACATGGTAAAAACACTTAAAGTGCCTTAATATATTTAAAACAGTAATATTCTCTATATTAATGATGCATAGTTTTACATAGGCAAGCAGATGAGGCCGGAATATGAACACAATCCGCTTAATGGTTCAGTGTTTTCCTTCTAATGGTTTTCTATGGGACATTGCAACTTTGCACATTGCGTTTATATTCTGGCTTCATCTGCTTGCCTGTACAAAATATACATAATCAATAAGGTGTT